CCATCGCAAAATGGTGGATTCTGCAAATCATGCAGGATATTTGCCCCCGAAAGAGTGAGTGGTGTTCAGCTGCAGGTGCTTGTTGAAAAGCCTATGAACAATTACAAAGATGCTACCTCTATTTTAGCAGCGCATGCCACAAAGGAGTATCACCAGCTCGCACACACGAAAGCCGAAAATTTCATACAAATACAAAGATCATCGCGTGGAAATGTTGTGGAGCAAATGTCACAGAATAGAGCAAATCGAGCGCATGAAAATAGAAAGGGAATGTTGTCCTTGATCAACATAGTAAAATTGTGTGGCCGACAAATGCTTTCCTTTCGTGGGCACAGAGATTTTGGGAAAATTGACCAACCCGAAGACTTCGAAACGAACGAGAATGAAGGAAATTTCCGTGCTCTGGTCCGATTCCGAATTCAATCTGGCGACGAAGATTTGCGCAGATTTATTCTTAGCTCTGGAATAAACGCGCAATATACTTGCTGGAGCACACAAAATGAAATCGTGCAACTCTGCGGGGGATATGTTCGAAAGGCTTTGGTGCAAAGAATATCAGAATCCGGCTATTTTTCTGTGCTAGCTCAAACTGTGAACAATTTTCGATTTGTGTGCGATATGTACACAAGCCTTTCGAAGGAAAGTACGAACTGCGCGAGGATTTTCTCGGTTTTGTCGAGGCTAAATCCTTGACAGGAGAATATCTGGCGAACCTGTTGTTGAAAACTTTGGCTGAATGGGGATTGGAGTTGAACCAATTGCGTGGCCAAGGATACGACGGCGCCGCAAATATGTCAGGGAGTTTCCGTGGTGTACAAGCTTGGATTAAAGAACAATACCCCAAGGCGTTATTTACCCATTGTAGATCACATTGCCTAAACCTCGTCATTGGACAGGCTTGTCAAGTTTTTTCTATACAAAAATCCCTCCGTGTCATGAAGGAAGCGATTGTTTTCATTTCCAATAGTCCAAAGCGAATGGCGTGCTTAACGAATGCTATCACGGCCCTCACACCCCAAAGTCGGCACACCCGGCTAAAATCGTTGTGCGAAACGCGATGGGTGCAACGACACGAAGCAGTGGCAGTTTTTCACGAGCTGTATTCGCCAGTTCTACATGCACTCAATGAAATTGAAAGAACATCTGATTCTGTATCATCCGACAAAGCAGAAGCTTTACAAATGCGAATGAGAACAATTGAATTGTTTCTAATATAAACATTCTGGCTCACACATTGGCTCTCACCCATAGTTTATCAGTCGCCCTACAATCAAAAACAATTGACTTGAAAGAATGCGCTGATATGATAAAAAACGTCAAAATTTGTTTGGAATCACGACTGGCAAATGCAGAAAGGGAGTTTGAAAAAATATTCAAAGATATAGAAACAACCCTGGAAAAGGAAGAGATTTCCACTACAACAAGGGGATTGCGCTCGAGTGCGACTGAAGATGTGAAAACCGCTATGCTGCTACGGAATTATAAGCCCTTTCTGAGGTGCATTGTGGACTGCCTAGATGCTAGATTTGGTGACTCGTTCCAACAAGCAACAAAAAGTTTTTCAATCGTCCCTTATCATATGAGAACACGTAAGTTACTATCGAGTCAATTGCAACATTTAAACATCAACATGTAATATAATTATTAATATTATTCTCATATTATTATTACAGACCCAGACACAGTTTTCGCGATGGAACATTTCCAAACATATTCCGACGAACTGGATTCCTGGCCGATAGTCGAAGCTGAAATAACGATGTGGCAGCAGAAGTTTGCCGACGTACATGTAAATGATCTTCCTGCCAACGCATTCTCCGCACTTGAGTTCGCTTCGCTCGATTTTTTTCCAAATATTCATAAGCTTCTTCAGGTTAGGAAGATTTTAGTTATTTTTGGAAAATATAAAATATTCAATTTGTATAAAATAATTCAATATTTAAATATTAAAGATCCTGTCAACTCTTCCCGTGACAACAGCTTCAAAAGAAAAACCCTCGGACCAACAGAAGTACAACTTTTTGACAAACACTTGGAAACCTAAATCTTTATACAAATTTCCCAGAGTTGAGAGGAAAGTAAAAGGAAAGGTCAGATATGTGTCATTTCAGAGAAAATGGCTAGATGATTATAAATGGTTGGCATATAGCCCATCGCAAAATGGTGGATTCTGCAAATCATGCAGGATATTTGCCCCCGAAAGAGTGAGTGGTGTTCAGCTGCAGGTGCTTGTTGAAAAGCCTATGAACAATTACAAAGATGCTACCTCTATTTTAGCAGCGCATGCCACAAAGGAGTATCACCAGCTCGCACACACGAAAGCCGAAAATTTCATACAAATACAAAGATCATCGCGTGGAAATGTTGTGGAGCAAATGTCACAGAATAGAGCAAATCGAGCGCATGAAAATAGAAAGGGAATGTTGTCCTTGATCAACATAGTAAAATTGTGTGGCCGACAAATGCTTTCCTTTCGTGGGCACAGAGATTTTGGGAAAATTGACCAACCCGAAGACTTCGAAACGAACGAGAATGAAGGAAATTTCCGTGCTCTGGTCCGATTCCGAATTCAATCTGGCGACGAAGATTTGCGCAGATTTATTCTTAGCTCTGGAATAAACGCGCAATATACTTGCTGGAGCACACAAAATGAAATCGTGCAACTCTGCGGGGGATTTGTTCGAAAGGCTTTGGTGCAAAGAATATCAGAATCCGGCTATTTTTCTGTGCTAGCTGATGAAACCAGTGATGTTTCAAACTGTGAACAATTTTCGATTTGTGTGCGATATGTACACAAGCCTTTCGAAGGAAAGTACGAACTGCGCGAAGATTTTCTCGGTTTTGTCGAGGCTAAATCCTTGACAGGAGAATATCTGGCGAACCTGTTGTTGAAAACTTTGGCTGAATGGGGATTGGAGTTGAACCAATTGCGTGGCCAAGGATACGACGGCGCCGCAAATATGTCAGGGAGTTTCCGTGGTGTACAAGCTTGGATTAAAGAACAATACCCCAAGGCGTTATTTACCCATTGTAGATCACATTGCCTAAACCTCGTCATTGGACAGGCTTGTCAAGTTTTTTCTATACAAAAATCCCTCCGTGTCATGAAGGAAGCGATTGTTTTCATTTCCAATAGTCCAAAGCGAATGGCGTGCTTAACGAATGCTATCACGGCCTTCACACCCCAAAGTCGGCACACCCGGCTAAAATCGTTGTGCGAAACGCGATGGGTGCAACGACACGAAGCAGTGGCAGTTTTTCACGAGCTGTATTCGCCAGTTCTACATGCACTCAATGAAATTGAAAGAACATCTGATTCTGTATCATCCGACAAAGCAGAAGCTTTACAAATGCGAATGAGAACAATTGAATTTGTTTCTAATATAAACATTCTGGCTCACACATTGGCTCTCACCCATAGTTTATCAGTCGCCCTACAATCAAAAACAATTGACTTGAAAGAATGCGCTGATATGATAAAAAACGTCAAAATTTGTTTGGAATCACGACTGGCAAATGCAGAAAGGGAGTTTGAAAAAATATTCAAAGATATAGAAACAACCCTGGAAAAGGAAGAGATTTCCACTACAACAAGGGGATTGCGCTCGAGTGCGACTGAAGATGTGAAAACCGCTATGCTGCTACGGAATTATAAGCCCTTTCTGAGGTGCATTGTGGACTGCCTAGATGCTAGATTTGGTGACTCGTTCCAACAAGCAACAAAAAGTTTTTCAATCGTCCCTTATCATATGAGAACAGACCCAGACACAGTTTTCGCGATGGACTATTTCCAAACATATTCCGACGAACTGGATTCCTGGCCGATAGTCGAAGCTGAAATAACGATGTGGCAGCAGAAGTTTGCCGACGTACATGTAAATGATCTTCCTGCCAACGCATTCTCCGCACTTGAGTTCGCTTCGCTCGATTTTTTTCCAAATATTCATAAGCTTCTTCAGGTTAGGAAGATTTTAGTTATTTTTGGAAAATATAAAATATTCAATTTGTATAAAATAATTCAATATTTAAATATTAAAGATCCTGTCAACTCTTCCCGTGACAACAGCTACGGCGGAAAGATCATTCTCATCGATGCGAAGACTAAAAACATATTTGCGTAACACCATGCAAGAAGAGAGAATGAACGGACTTGCGTTAATGGCCATCCATCGAGATGTTAAAATCGATTCCAAACGAGTCTTGGACGAGTTTGCTACCCAAAAATCTTGAAGATTGAACATTATTCTTTAATATTTTTTTTATCGAAAATTGAACATTATTTTGCAATGCTTTGTTTTCGAAAATTGAATAATATTTTATGACACTTTTTCTTCGATGCTGCCACATTTAGCAATCCTTTGTTAATAAACCATACATTTCCAATAATTCATTTTGTTTGTTATTCGCTTATGAACCTGGTGCCATCGCTTGTTAAAGATGCACTACATAACTAAAATTCGTAATTAGCGATAAGCCGATAACGTATGTGATAAAAAGTATGGATGCGTGGAATGTGGCGAGGCGAGAGCGCGCTTGTGAAATTGTTGAATGTGGCGAGGCAAGAGCGCGCTTGTGGAATAGTTTTGACGGCAATAGTGTGATACGTCCGTTGCTATTTCTGTCAAGTGACTGTAACCCCCCGCTGGCAGCGATAACGAATGGTAAACATGATTATGGAAGTCGGACGCTGCGCGAAAGTGATAACCGCAAAGAACAAAATTATTGTAAGTAAACGTAACCCTAATAAAAAAAAAACGATTTCAAACGGAGGGGTTACGACTCATGTAACCCCCCCCCCTGGCTGCGCCCCTGGTTACACACTTCCATGTTCGAATATTCCCAGGTTGAGACAAGAGTCAATCAAAATTAGTATAAACGGATACAGCGCCCGAATAATTCCTTTAAATCATGCATGAACCTACAACCTCCATATAAGCTCTTTCCAGTTCAACTTGATTTACTTTAAGCTCAACAAGCGAATAAAATAATTCCCACCCTACCTTTGCATTGGGAGTGTTTTTCTTAAACGCTTTCATTCCTTCTGCTGTCAGATTGCAATCTCTAGCCTTGAATACCTTCACCTGACATTGTGTAACAACCACTCCAAGATCACCAAAACCATCAGGTCCAAGGCACTTGTTGTCACTGACATCTAGTTCCTCCAACTGAAATAAATGAGAACCGTGAGATTATTTAGCATGGTGGAAATGTACAATGTTCTGAAGTTTCCTGTTGCAACAGCATGAAATTAACAAAAATTTTGAGATAGTGAACTATAAAACCACTTAAGCTAAACCGCCTAATCTAGGTTGATGTGTGTTGTTTGTCACTAGTTGACGCCATGATAGTTCATAAGAAATACATACTACTAGTAGGTAATCACTCATCATTATGATGTTCTGAAGTAAGATAGTGAATCATAGGACTAAGTTAAAAAGTTGGCCTCTTTAGATATATCAATAAAACCACCTGAGTCAGGTAGACATATGTTATTATATCTGACACTAGTTGGCGCCATTAGTTTGTCATTAAAAAAAAATTTCTTAACTTTTATTATTATGTTTTGTCTCAGATTATTGAAGAACTGATATTACCGGTAGCCAATCACTCATCAGTATCAAATAAAATTCACTTCATAATCTAAAGTTCTGAACCAATGTGTTGGTTGCCAAAGTGTGTGAGAATACATTATGGGACACAACCAAAAGTAAAACTATTTTATTTAAAAGTCATTTGAAAAGTAAAGCCAATGCAATAAATTTCCAGGTGTCAAAGCATCAATATCATGATCAATTGAAAATTATAACAAAGTCCAATTTCTGGTCTGATACTCATCAAAAAAGAAACTCATAGTCGAAGTACGGTAATTGGGTTTTACCATGAATATTAGATACAGTTTCTGTGCATTAGGGACATGGTATGGTGAGATGGAAGCTGACCTGTCGTTTTATTCACGCAGTGAACTATGCTTTCAATAGTGTTGTGGGGCATGAGGTGGGAAATATAGCTGGAGCCAGATCTACAATGAATTTCAGTCGAGTCACTCCTGAATATATAATTTTTTTTCATACAAATATTGCAATCTATTTAGAGATGGATATGTGATGCTATAGTTAGGGATGGTTAATATAGAATAATTTAATATCCTGGAAAAATCAAACCGAATCCTATTCAATTTTTCATAGTTATTTAAATAGTGGAATGGATTCTTCACCCTATTACTCTGGTAAAATTCAAAAAAGCAAAATTATAAATATATTACTGTCATTGTATTTAATTGAAATGTGCTGTGCATTGGATTTTGTTTCTCGGAACATTGAAATTCAGGAATTTTAACGATATTTCTTGCCTTGAATTGTTCAAAAGTTTTGTATCCCCAACTACTAATACTAATAAATTAAGAATCAAGTTATACACTTCCATAGTAAACTGTGGAATACAAAAAATAGATATGAAACAGCATTAAATTACACGCCCACTGGAAATGTTAGATGCAGGGCCTGCATGAAGACACTGCAACCCATGCTGCCACTATTTAAATTGTTAAATTGAACCACTAACAATTATAACAAGTATCGATCTACGTGTTTATTCCATGTGAGCAAGACTCTTAAAATAATATTACCATAATTTCGATTTTGTTTTCAGGCTACATCACAATCGACTATGATGCATTTTCGATTTTCATTCTGAAGGGATCGTGTGGAAAAACATCCTTGCTCACACCCTTTATAACCAATATATTCCAATACCCAACTCAGTATCAATACCCTAATTCAATTATATTTTACTTACTGTTTCCAGTAGCATTTAATAATTGATTAAAAAAAATTATCGCCTAACCCTAACCTGTTACCCATGTTACGTTCCGATGTCCGCCATCTTGGATCGCATACTTCGGGAGCACCTTTTTATCTTTATATTAAATACTGTTCACTCTTGTTTACAGAATCTGTATTCAATTTGGGAACTTTTATAAAATTATAAAATGGTGTTGCAAACAATTCTTATTATTTTATCAAAGTTCTTATCTTTTTTTCTAATTTTTTTGTTTAACTCATTTCTCTAACTTTATTAGAGCCTTGTAGTTGTGTGTGGGTGCGTGCGAGGTTGTATGAATTTGATTCAATAATATCATGCGAGTGAAAACGTACCACTTCTTTTTCGGCAAATCCTTCCATCTTATATTATGTATGTTTTAAACCTTATCCAAGGTTTTGTTTGCGCTTCTGATCACATAATCAAGTTTTATTTATTTGTTTTTATCAATCATTTCATTGCCTTCTATGCTGATTATGGAGTCAAAATAATCTTATCTTATCTTGTATTCAATAGGTAATAATAGTGTAAGACAAATTCATTTCCTTTTACAAAATCTTAATTTTCTGTTGTTATCGTTATATATCTAGCTGGACTTAGCACCACCTAATACGTTTTGCCTAATGCCCCCACAATATTAAAGGCCGGATATGTCTTTACTACATGTGGCAACATTTTCAATTTATCGTCAAATTGAATTTCGAAAAATATTTGATCTTTCGGGAGTGCAAAATTAATGTGACAAAACGCCATGTTTTGCGATATGTATACCTGTATAGTATAGAAAAAGCATGTAGCAAAAGTATTTACGATGAATTATGTGCAAATAATATTCAATCTGGATTTATCGCAAATAACGTTGTAACATTTGTGTCTGGATTTTGTTTACATCATATTACTCGTTTGTAGTGAGCAGTGAATCATTACGTCCATCTAAGCTCTAAAAGTGAAGTGACAAAAATCATACGCAGGTGAAAGACGTTGACATAGGTTTCTGCTTGTTCAATTTGTCACAACCTATTTGTGCGAATCTGTTTTTTTTTTTTGATCTTGTTAGCATCAAAACCGTTTCAAGGTTGACAGTGACATTCGTCTGGCTGTATCAAAGACGGTGTCTAATATAAGGGACATCGTCAGACAATCCCAAGTGCAAGATTCCTATTGATTGTATACTAAAAAACATGGCCTTTCTTGGCTGTGGTTTGTTTTTGCAGTCCATAAAAGATCGTGAAAACAAAGTACAATCCAACACGTTTAGTTTTCTAGTTATCTTTACTTATCTTATTTATTATTTTATCGCAAGGCTTCCAGCCAATTTACTCATTCAATCATTTAGTTTTTCAGTATTCCCTTATTCCATGCAATCAAATTGACATATGGCATACAAACAAAGGAATAGTTCAGTCTCATTTCCTAAACATGCTTCCCATCTAGGTTGAAGCGCTTGGTTATGAATATTTGTTAAACCAATGCCTGAAACTTTTATCTGGCGTTTATTAATCTATCATATTTTGACTTGACATCAACACGGCCTATTTCGATTTATTGCTCTAACAGGCTAATAAGTTTTTTGACGTTGTAAAACACATTACATAAGTTTTTTCATATTATTAAAGGTTTGCACATAAATATCTTTGAGTTTCACATTTCGCTGGCGGTTACTTGAGATGAGTCACTTTCAAACCTTGAAAAAGGTGAGGGCAAGAACTCATGACGCCATAGACTTAAGTATCTAAAAATTGCTTGTTGTTAATAGTGAAAGGCCGTGGAATGTATAGCTTGGCCCGCTTCATCGCACGTAGGTCGAAGAATAATTTGCATGTCTTATTTCAAACATTCATCATCATTACCTTCCAGTTGACAGATCGCTTCATTTGATCGTTATTGTTTTATAATGTATCTAATTACTGGGTAGTTGGTCAATAAAAACGAATGCAGTAGCACTCTCTGGAATGTTGCAGGCCCAGTATGAGTTATTTGTATCCCGATACCCCCAGCGACTTTTCACATATTATAATACTTATAGGAATCTGTTTTCTTTTGAAAAATGTACACGAATTACTAGAATAATTCTTGAAAAAAATACGGATATAAAAAAATAATTCTAATTAATCCTGAGTGTGTCTATTTCCTAGAAAATGATTTCTAATGCGCCTGAATGAACAATAAAATACATGAAAATTGATGTGGAGAGAAGTACAATCAGGTCCCGATAGAAATTTTCATTTGTACAAAAACAATCTCACAAGTAGCATAGATTAAAAATGCATGAAATGTACAATTCTTAAGTGTCGTTTATTTTAATGCGTCATGACTCGTACTGATGATAGTGATTTTGTCCCGTAAGTTTGTTAAGATTTGAAATCCTTTTTATATGCATATGACACTTCTCTTTTATTAACAGATTATAAAGATATCTAGAAAGCAAAAAGGTAAAAACTATTTCACTCAAATTCGCGGGCCATATTAAATCATTACGCGGGCCTTGGTTAGGGAACCACTGGTTTAGATCAATGTTTCCTAACCGCTAGTCTCTAGCTTTTTTGTTGATTTGCAAGAATATTAGTCGTTTTGTTATTTTCCTATGATCTCAATCGATTTACCAAAACCGAGCACACGAAATTGCGTTGGTTTATTACCCAATTTCTTTTCCAATGTCATATTGATGTTTGATAAGTGCAATATTAATTATGGGATGGGCTTATTAAATGACTGGTATTGCGGATAGGTAACGTTCGAAGTAAATAAATTTATGGTTTTCAAATTTTCACCAAATTAGAACATGAGGAATAGCGTAGGACTAGATTATTGGGACTGGATCGATTCTCAAAAACAATAGTTCCAGTGAAATCCGGAATCCAATTTTTGTTATAAATATAAGTTTATTTCGACTCCATAATCAGCAACAGATGATAAAATAATTGATAAAAACAAAATAAATAAAACTGATTATAGAATCGGGAATGCAAACGAAACCTCAAGTAAAGTTTAAAACGTACAGTAAAAGATTCCCAGTCCTGCAAGTCTAGTCACAGTTCCGAGTTCCGACAAAGGTCAATCTGAGTTATAGTGAATGGATAGATACATCGCCCTATAATTCTTTTAAATCCTGCAAGAACCTCCAACTTCATATCAGCTTTTACCAATTCCACTTTACCTTATTCGGGCCATTCCAAGCAACTGTTGAATTTCATCAATTTTTTAAAAGCGAAGTGAAGGTAATTGTTTTGTGTTTTTTATGGGAAAGGATCCTTAATTTTATAGGACTGCTTTTATTTCATCGAAAAAGTCAAGTTTTACCCAATTTTATGAATGATTTACACAATTCGGTCTGAAGTTAAAAATTTTTGATATAATCGATTTTTCTGTGATGACCTGATTGTCTGGTGCAGTTGTTTAATTTCAAATAGATGCACTAGACCCTTTGCATTGCAATGTGGGCAATTTATCATTTTTATCACTTACCGGTATCTTGCCATATTTCCTGAACTTGAATAGTACCATTGAAAATTGTCCCGTAGGGTCACAAATAGTGCTTTTTTATTTTTTGGCAATGTAGACATTAGTATTTTACAAAGAAATTTGTTGAAATGTCAAATTTACTGTTCATCTTTTTTGTGCATCCGGCAACCCAATTACATTTGCTTATCAGTAAATATTAGGTGACATTACATATGTGTCTCGCAGAGTCACATTTCTGAAAATTATCATATGTCTCATAGAGACACCAAAATCCAAGAACTGTGATTTTCAGTTCTGTGTGCCTTCTCTATGCCATTGTGCGGAGTGTGTGAGAAGAAAACAGATTGCAGTGTTTAGAACAGTCATGATGGAATGTTTGTACCAATATAACAGCACTTTGTGAGGACCATATACCATAATTTTTCAAAACTACTTTTAGTAAATTGTCATTTTCTATGTGAATAATCAATTTAACTTTGAAAGGTTTGAAAACTGTATTACATTTAGATAAAAATAAAACTTACAAAATAATACAATTATTGTTAAGCGTTTGTGGGCTGTATTGGAAGTTTTCTGGGCCACGAGTTTGACACCCCTGCGATAGAGTCACTTGGAATAGCTTATTTGAGCTCACCAAGTAAATAAATAATTTGCATCTTACCTTTGCACCGAGAGTGTTTTTCTTGAATGCCTTCATTCCTTCTGCTGTCAGATTGCAACTGTTAGCTTTAAATTTCTTCACCTGACGTTGTGTAACAACTAATCCAAGTTCACCTATGACATCGGGTCGAAACCAATAGTTGCCACTGACATCTAGCTTATCCGACTGAATTAAATAAGAACTGTAAGATTATTTAGCATGGTGGGAATGTGACCCAACTATATATCACACTGTTCTTAAGGTCCCCGTTGCAACAGCATGAAATGAATAAAAATTGTGAGGTGGTGAACCATGGAACCACCTGGGCTGACGTCTTTAGATATATCAATAAGCTATCCGAGTCAGCTAGAATCAGTTATGTTATTAGGTCTGCCACTATTCATTGGAAATGAATTTTCTCAACTTTTAATTTTATGTGATACTACTGGTAGCTAATCTCACTCATCAGTATCAGTTAAAATTCACTTTGCATTCTAAAGTTATGAATAAACAAGTTGGATGCAAATCAAGCTTTGGTAAGTAAAAGTTCAATGTCTATGTGAGTATACATTGTGAGAAACAAGCAAAAGTAAATAACTATTGATCTAAAAGTCATTTGGAAACTTAAGCCAATGCAATGGATTTCAATTTTCCAAGTGTCAAAGCATCAATATCATGAATTGAAACTATAGCAATGACCAATTACTGGTCTGATATTCATCAAAAATGTATAGTTGAAGTAACTAAGTTTCACAATAATATTAGATACAGTTTCTGTGCATCTGGGAATGGTATGTTGAAAAGGCCTGAAGGTTTAATTGTGCAGTGACCTATGATTCCAAAAGTATTGGGGAGCTTGAGCCGGGAAATATAACTGGAAGAAGGATCTACAATGAATTCCAGTGACACCAGCTCTTGACCAAATAATTATTGTGTCACATTCATAAATTTATAACGCTCCATACAAATAATACAATCCATCCCTCTCAGCAATATTCGATTTTAGAGTTGAATTGCGATAGTAAATAGTTTGAATATTAATTTTGAGAGATGAAAGCCCTATATAATTGATTACAGAGTAAAAAATCAAAGTCAAGGATGGCTGACTTCTGAGCTTTCTATTCTCTCCCCGGAGCATGTGGGGGCTCTGTGGCCAATATGCAGAGCTTTGATCTAAAAAGTGTTATTTCGTTACAAAAAGTTGATAGTTGGGTAATAGAGATGGATATGTGATCCCCGTACATGACCCTTCACCCCACTTGCTATATCTGGAGTAATTTCAAAGCTTTTTTATTTTGATAAATTTTAGACCCATTTAAAAATATTTTAACTACCTTTCCACTTTTGGTATTATTTGAATTTTTATTATTAGGAACACTGTAACAAATTCCAGTCAGCTTATCTTTGTTTGTTTTGTCAACCTTTCAGTGTTCCCCTATTCCATTCAATGAGATTGACACGATTGTGACATACAAACGTCGGAATGGTCCAATCTCATTTCCTAAACGTACATGCTATAAATTGTATAGATAATGCAAAACCAAAAAGAATCCAATCTGCTCTGAATATAGTTCATTTAGACTTTCAGTGTTCCCGTATTCCACGCAGTGAGATTAACATAATGTGGCAAATAAAATGAAAAATAGTTCAGCCTCATTTCCTAAACATGCTTCTTATCCAGGTTGAAGCAAATTGTTTCAACCCCTATACCCAGGATGCCATAAATTATATAGACCAGGGTGTGCAACCTTTATTACAGGAGGGCCAGATACAAGTAACTGGGTGAAGCCGGAAGCAGCACCTACAAAAGGCTCTGGATACGAAAACTCCAACTTACGAAACTTCTTCTCATAAAAATATTGCTTTGGCTAACGAAAGATTTTAATAAGGCCGAAAACAGAAAACTTAGAAAAAGTGTGTAGTGATATTTGTTTATTTTAGTTTAAATCAATGCAGTGCTTGAAGAAGCAATGTCTAATTCATATTTAATATTCGAATATCGTTTTTCGTGTTTATGAGAATACCGAATATGGCGCACAAATCCTAGCGCCGCCTTCCACATTTTGATTCAAAACATTTTACAATTATTTCTTATTTTATCGTAATCGATAAAAACGTGTGCGTTGCGGCCACGTACTGGACAGTTTGTTTCCCACAGGTAGCCTACATTTAATGCGTTGCTAACGAAATTCAGTGAATAGAAGATGATACGAGAAAAAACTGAATTTCATGTGTGTGTGCTCATTTTTGTACCGTTGCCGTCATTCCACTTTCCCCAGTCTTTGTTTAGCCTAGTCTAGTCAGCCAACACCAAAGGTAAGTAAACATACTACTCGAATTTTTCATTCGTTATTTCTCTTTTATTCATTCTTCATAATTTATGCAAATATTATATACAAGTTTTGTAAGGGCTTAAAACGGATTGGGGCATTTACAGGTAAAATGGACCTTTCTACCTACGAATGGGCTTCCAGGTCGAATTAATTTTGTAGGTAGAGTTTCTACTGTAGTTGCAAGCACAAAAAATTGTTACCTTTCGTTATTGATCTTCAGAACTGTTACGGGATCCTTGCAGAAATGTTACGCAGAAAATAAAAACTGGTATTCAAATTTATTGTCCCACCGACTTTAAACGAATTCAGTGAGATAAAACGTTTTTATACCTTTGTGTATTTTGCAAAAGGTTTGCTGTCCAGTTTTGGTAATATGACTCGGGTTCTGGTATAGGCTTTGCGACGCAAAGAGATTTAAAATGCTCTCATGTACCAGATTACCTTAACTAATAACTCGCTCCGCAGGCACACCATTCAAAATTGGCACTTCCCCGCGAAACACACAATTTTTCCTTGCGCGCCGCAATTTGCACACCTCTGGTATAGACAATGCAGAATCAAGAATAATCTGTCATCCCAAAATATTGTTGCAAGAAATAGCTTGGTTTTACCTGGAATATCAAATCATGGCTCGGTTATCAGAGACCTGGTATAAGTATTGGAAATGAGAAATTTTTATTCGGCACTTTTTGATTTAGCACCCGAAAAGGAAATTACATTACTCTCTTTTAAATACTGTAAAATGTATACCCAATTAAAACATATCTATGGCAGGTATTATCAAAAATTCCCAACAAAATTTGGTGACACAACATTTAACGAATCCGTTAAGAAGCACATCTAATATCTTAGGACGCCCCCAAAAATCATCTCCTGCGATTTTTCTAATATTATCATTGCTAATATTATATTACCAGTTATAATAGGGTTTCAGGAAGACTGAAAAGGTCGCTTGTAGCAGTTTCTTTTTTCACATGACTAATTTTGTTTAAATCGCCGATTGTTTTCGTCATCGTGACATGGTTATTTAGGCTGTGGTATTATGTCTGTGAGTACCTTTTTAAATTACTATCAAGATTGTACTTGACTTATTCCTTCTAGATATATAGGCTAATCATTATAGAGTATGTTCTATTACACTGAAACTCTTTAGGGTTACTTGCCATGGTATTTTTTGGATTAGCAATGCTTTTAGCTGGAAGTTGACAAAACCGCAAGTTATGTTGAACGCAATGAATTTAATACGGAAAAATATCAAAATGCTAGTAACAACCATGGAATGAAAATTTTGCGCTACTGGTAAATCATTTTCCCAGTAAATGAGATGATTCTTAATGACTGCCATAATAGGGCTACATGGGAGCGGGCGTATCAAAGATTTCCAAGAATTGAAAATTCCCAAGCAACAACTTCTAAAACAGTCCCACGATTACACCACTTGTAAAAATAGCTTTTTAGACTTTTTAGCAGATAACTATTTTTCTGTTGCCTAAAATATTCAATCCATGACTTATACGGGTATATTTGTCTTGATTTAGTATTTCATTTGTGTTCGTTGTAACCTGCTGTTGTGCTGCTTAAAAATATAAAAGCATTACTCTCCGAATTGCTGCGGCGACAAAACTGTGTGGCAATGTCTCCGATTATATCTTGTTTCGATTAGTATTTCCTAATAAACGGTACAAATTTCAAAGGTAACACAACATAATGTGTGTAGTAGGCAAACCAAGTTCTGCGATTTACAATGTCTAAATAAGCATTTTTAATCTGTCGGGACCTCCTAAAACAAAACTTGTGGTGTTTCCCCATCGTTTTATATTTAATATTTTACAATGTCACCTTTCAATCAGAAAATTTTGGTTGTGGATTCTCTCCTTTTACTATCTTTAGCATCTCGTCACCGATGATTATAATGTAATAATACCGTTTCACAACAAACTAACAATTATGTGCCAAACCAAAAGGTAATTATCGCCATCCTTGTGGAACAAGACAAGTTGATAGAAATTTGTTATTTAGGGAGAATATATATCTTTCTCAGCAAAGGTCAGTAAAAAGTCTCAGTATCCCACATGCTTAGGCGTCAGTAAAGGTGTTTAAGGGCTAAAATAGCACATAGCCCTGAAGAAAACAATCGGCGAGCGTTCATTTCTTCAGGAAACATAGTATGGAACAAAATACAATTTCACAAATCATTAGCGAGTTTTTCAGTCTTCAGTCTTATAATGATGATTAAATAAGGGCTGGGCAGTGGGCTTATAAAATACCTTTATCAAATTCTAGTCTGATATTGAGAAAAAGTTGTAAGTAATAAAGTTTCACCATAAATATCAAATACAGTTACATCAGGGACATGGTATAGTGATTGGAGGTTTAATCATGCAAGAATAATGCTCCCAAGAGAGTTGGGGCGCCAGAGTGGAACCATGAAGCCAGAAAATAGAGATGGAACCAGATCTACAATAAATTTCAGTGGCTCCAGCTTTGACCACATAATTATTGTTTCATATTCGGTTTATACTGCTCCATACAAATAATACAATCTATCCTTCTCAGCAATATTCAATTACCAATATTAATTCTAAAGTTAAATAGGTATAATAAAACTTTTAAAGCTTAGTTATATCAGTTGAGAGCCTTATATTAATTGCCTACAATGACAAAATCAGCATTATTATCAATTTCAATCAATGTTAAGAATGGCTGACCACTAAGCTTTCTATTCTTCCTTGTGGGCTAAGGTGTTCTCTGTGGCCACTATACAGAGACTTGTTCTGAGAAAGTGTTTATTTGGTATAAAAGGTTGATGTGATGCCATAGTTAGGGATGGATAACAATGTAAAATAATTTAGATGCAGGGCCAGCTTGAGACCACTATGAGTGGAGCAGGTACCGCAAAAAAAGAAACTCGATAGTTACCGTATTTTCTCGACTATACGCCTATCACGCGGATAAGCCGACTCCCTAATAACAGCTTCGAAATAGTGAATTTATAAAAATTCGCATATACGCGGTTTCCACAAATCGTAACACGGCGCACGCATCTATTACAGTCAATAATGTTCAATTCAAATTTAATATTCAAATATCGCGATGCGCTACCTTCTTGTATATGGCACACACATTCTAGCGCCGCTGTCCACATTTTGATTAAAACAATTTTCGATTATTATATTTTCTGTTTTATCGTAATGGAAGACAGCACTTTGCGGCACAACTAAATTACTGCCAACATGAAAGGAATTAAATCAGCGCCGACTTGAAGTACCAAACGTATAACATGAGGACATTTTTGATTGAAAATACTTTACAATCATTATTTTATATTAAGGTAGTCAAGATATCCTGAGAGGACAGGGCAATAAATTTGGTTATTTTTCGCAAGTCTTCTCAAACATGATTTGTGTGAGCTTCATATATGAGCTGATATATTTTATAATGTATGCCAAAGTGTCTGCCGATTATTTAATTGACTTTGTATACCAGCTGTTATTTGTCTTAATTCTAAAAACAAAAACGTGGCCGGTGCTTTCGATAACGGCACTTCAGAAAGAAAACGGCTACCACGAAATAAAGTGATTGATTTATGACCCTTCCGTTTTGCTGATTCAGGAAAAAACGGACAACACAGCTGTTGCCTAACCCATGGACGTACAGCACAGTATTTATCACATCATATTCATATGTTATTTCAGCCTTTCAGTTACCGTAAATGGTTGTTCAAAATGATTGAAATTACAGTTTTATTGTTAAGAATTATTGCTGTGAGTATTATTTTACCTGAAACTTCCATCTGATTCTTACTTGTGCACAAATGATAACCTTTTGACCACGAGACGGCTGGTACATCAATGCTGTTGCTCTTATGCAAAAGATACAATTAAATTTAATCAAATACAAGCGGTAACGTTTATGATCAGACAATCACACCTAGACAAGCGATCGCGTGTGTGGTGTGTGCGTGCACGCTCCTTATCGTGAGAATTAAGCATGGTTTGTAGCTGTTGCAATTACCGGCAAGTCAGCATTATATCATTTCGTTGCGTGATCAAAGTCTCGATGCGCGAAGGAGACGATTTTTTGGTGCTATCTGAGTTATGCGCCCTAAGACGGTCCCTTAGTTGAGCAACTTTTTTTTTGAGTTTTAAACTCGGCGTATTTGCGAATAAATACGATAGTTCATTTGATTATGCTCGGACTTTCCGCTCCACTAGGTGTATCTGGAGTAATTTCAAACGATTCCCATTTTAATGAGCCTTTTTAAACTTAATTCCACCTTCCCATTCAAAAATACTTTAATCACCTTTTGGTATTATTTACATTTTGATCAGTGGGAACACAGTAACACATTCCAGTTAGTTTAACTTTGTTTGTTTCATCAACCTCTCAATTCCCCTATTCCATGCAATGAGATTGGTACCATGTCACATACAAACATCAAAATAGTCCAGTCTCATTTGTCAAGCATGCTTCCTATTCCAGGTTGAAGAGCTTGGTTTCACTCCCTTACCGTGCATGCTTTAAATTGTATAGATAATGCAAAACCAAAAAGAATATGATCTGCTCCGAATATAGCTGCAAAAAACAACCTGGTTATACCATGACTATCAAATCATGGTTGGGTTTATTATAAACCTGTTACAGCTGATTGGAAATGTTCTGATCAATATCAGTCTTTACGATTTTGGAATTTTCATCAAATCAGCCCTTGCATTAGTATCCATGAAATCATGGAACAGCAGAAATCTTGGCTCAAGTTCTAAAAACATCAGGCTTAGTTAAATTCTAATTTTGTCAAGTGAAGTTTCCCAGTCCATCACAAGTCATGATTCATCAGACTCAAATCCTATTCTGATAAATGTTTAACTTTAAACCCCTCGTGTTAGTCCCTTATCAATCCAAGTCATAGTAGATTTCATGAACCACAATGAAATGGATGAATATTTATTGAACAATACCTGAAACTTCCATCTAACTGATGTTTATTAATCCAACGTTGAAAATTAAACTGTGATTCAGTTATGTATTGAGTCCATTGACAACATCACCTCAACATTAACACAGTTATTGCTATAGCAGGCTAATGAATATTCGATTATTTCAAAGCAACACTAATCAATATTGTAAATCAATTATATCAATTTTTTCATATCAGGAGATTGCGAATAATTATCTTCAGTTTGACAAATTTCGCTGCGGTTACTCGAGATAAGTCATTCTTTCAAAAAGGTGACTCAAGCCAATAACTGGAATCTCTCCAATAATAATTTTCACTTATACAAATGTGTGATCGCTTACTATGCAGCGCTTTGGTCTGAGCAAAGAATAAACAATTCTGTCCTATAGAAAGCATAATTCGGGAATAGGAATGAATACTTCATATTATAATTGGTTCTTGTGGCAATTCTATCAAGACTGCACTCAGGGGCCCTATCAAATGGGGGGGGGGGGGGATTTCCACTGCAATATCCCACGAGAGCTTTTTGATTTGGCACCCAAAAAGAAATTACATTACTCTCTTTTATATACCGAAGGGAGTTCGCGCTGCCCTTATATTCATTAGCCAGTATTAGATGGGTTTTCAGAAACCGACTGCGCCTCTGCCTGGTATAGACAATATGAAATTGAAAAATCTGTTCCTAAAATTCAGCGGTGAGAAATAACTTGGTTTAATCATGATTATGAAATCATGGATTGGGCTTATTAAATACCTGGTACTGCTGATAGGAAATTTTCTGTGTAAACAAATTTATGATTTTCATTTTTTCATAAAACCAGTCATGTATTAGTATGCATAGAATGAAAAGATATCGTCGGATTGAGTCAGAGGCCTTGGGTCACTACCACAACTCCACAAGTCAATCCGAGTCACATGAAATTTTATGAATAACAATGGTATAGATTGGTCACACTCACATTACTGCATTAAACTTTATCTTGTGCTAAACAAACAAACTTTCGTTTGAAACTGGCAGTTAATCATGTATTGACAACATTAGCTCGACATCAACACAGCCTATTTAGATTGATTTCTGCAACAAGCTAGTAAATATTTGATTTTTGAAGGCAACATTAGGTAACATGGCAATTATTTTTCCATTTCGAAGAATTTCCTAAATTTATTTTCAGACTTTCAAGTCGATTCTCTGGCGATTACTCGAGGTGAATCCTTACATTTAGTTGGGTCAAGTTTTTTATAGTCTTTGACAAATGCGATGGCTGGAAGCTCTGAAATGCTGGTTTTGACTTATACAGGGTGTCTAAAAAAGTAAGTAGTCCTATACACTTTTAATTTTGATTCGCTTTTCAGGTACTTATCACAGAGCATTCATTTTTTCTGGAAACATAGTATGGATAAGTAGTAAAATTTAGGAACTGTTTGCATTTTTCAACAATTCACAGAATGACAAGGAGATTAACCCGAGTAATGAGGTGGAAAAATGCTGTTTGGCAAGGAGCTTATAAAATAGTAAGACATTTGGCATTTTTACGACTAAGAATTACGAAATTCATAGAAACTGGACATGTAGTTGATGCACAAAGATCAGGAAGACCAAGAAGTGGACGCTCTGAGGAAAACATTCAAAGCTGAATTAATTTCAAAGTCTCTGTTAAAGAGGCGCTAAGTTTGACTTACTGCTTTACATGCTTCTTGAAAATCAGCATTTTTGCTCCACATTTTTGGGGTTAACATCCTTGTTACTCTGTGAGTTGTTGAAAAATGCAAACAATACCTAAATTTTACTAGTCATCCATATTATGTTTTTTGAGACACCCTTCATAATGTAAAATCACTTTATTCTTAGCAGACCAAGAACAATTCTTTTTCTACACAGAGCAAAACCGGGAATAGAGATGGATACAGCACCCATTAATTCCTTTAAATCTTGCAAGAACAAACCTACAACTTGCTATATAAACTTTTTCAATTCAAAATTACTTTATTTACTTTTTATGCTCAACATGTGAATAAAGTAGTTCCCATCTTACCTTTGATTTAGAAGTTTTTTTCCTGAATGCTTTCATTCTCTTTGCTGTGAGATTGCAATTCTCAACCTTGAGTGTTTTCACATGACATTGTTTAACAAATAATCCAACTTCGCCATCAAGTTCCAGGTCCAAGTTGTCACTGACATCTAGTTTATCCAACTGAAATAAATGGTGGAGATGCGAGCCAAAATATAGAATGCAATGTTCTGAAGGTTTTTGTTTGCAATTGCATGAAATGAATGAAAATTTTGGAACCTCCCGAAATAAAAACAAATAGCATATTCATTTATATAAAAATAATGCTTGGCTGGTGTTTGTTATTTTGTCGCCCATTAATAATTCATTACAAATACATTTTATCAACTTTCAATATTAAGTTTTGTCTTAGATTATTGAAGATCTGATACTACTGGTAGCTAATCACTCATCAGTATCAGTTAAAATTCACTCGGCAATCTAAAGCTATGAATAAACAAGTTGGATGCCAAATCATGATTTTGTAAAAGTTTAATGTCTGTGTGGGAATGCGTTGTGGGAAACAAGCATAACTAGAAAACTATTTATCCTGAGGTTATTCGAAAACTAAATTTAATGCAATGGACTCTAATTTTCGGTACTCCCGTAGTAAGTGACCCAAGATGGCGGACACTGGAATGTAGTATGTGTACCAGGTTAGGGTGAGGTCATAATTTCAGGTACAAACACTACAGGAGTCATTTGGCTACTCTTCAAACTTGTAATATTACTAAAATATGAAAAATTGAAAAAAATTTATGGCCCAAAGCTAACTTGGCGGTTTCCGCCACCTTAATGCACATACTACTAGGATGCCAAATTTTCTAGGTGTCAAAGCATCAATATCAAAACCAATCGAAACCAAAGCAATGTCCAATTTCTTGTCTGATATTCATCATAAATGCACTTCATAGTTAAAAGTAAGTTTGAGTTTACCATAAATATCAGATACAGTTTCTGTGCATCAGCTGATGCACATGATGAGCTGACCTGACGGTTTAATCATGAAGTGAACTATGCTTTCATATGAGTGTTGGGGAGCATGAGTTGGAAAATATAGATTTAATTGGATCTACAAGAAATCTCAGTGGCCCCAGCTCCTGTGCATATACCGGTAATTATTTTTTCACATTCATAATTTTATAACACTTCATACAAATAATACAATATATTCTTTTTAGGATATTTAATTTCTGGTATCAATTCCAAAGTTAAATTGGAAAGCTTGATATTTAAAAATGCGAGTCTTGTATAATTGCTTACAAGAGTAAAACAGCATTTTCAACAATTTCAAATAAAGTCAAAGATGGCTCCTCAGTTTTAGCTGTGTTGGGACATTGTGGCAACTACGCAGAGCCTTGGTATGAGAAAGTGTTAATTTGTTATTAAAAGTTGATAGTTAGTAATAGGGATAGATATGTGATATCATAGTTAGGGATGGATAATATAGAATAATTTTCGAATCCTGGTTTATTTTTATATTTGAATAGTGGGAATTCCTCACCATCTTGCTGGATTAAAAATCGAGTGAAGTTTTACTGTCAATATATTTAATTGAAATGTGCTGAGCATTATATTTTGTTTCTTAAAATAATGAAACTTACAAAAATTTTTGCCTTGAATTGTTCAAAATCTATGAGTTCCAAGTCGATTCTCTGGCAATTACTCGAGTCCAATCCTTACATTTAGTTGGGTCAAGTCTTTTATAGTCTTTGACAAAGGCGATGGCTGGAAGCTCTGCAATGCTGGTTTTGACTTATATAATGTAATATCACTGACTGTACAGAGCTTTAATCTGAGCAGACAAAGAACAATTCTTTTTCTATACAAAGCTAATCCGGGAATAGGGATGGCTACATCACACATTAATTCCTTCAAATCAACCTACAACCTATAAATAAGCTTGTCCAATGCAAAATTACTTTGTTTACTTTTTAAGCTCAACAAGTCAATGAAGTAGGCTAATTCCCATCTTACCTTTGCTTTGCGAGTGTTTTCCTTCAATTCCTTCATTGCTTCTGTTGTCAGATCGCACCTCACAGCCTTGAATGTCTTTACTTGACATTGTGTAATAACTATTCCAACTTCACCTAGGAAATCAGTCGGCGGTCCGCAGAACATGCAATGGTTGTTACTGACATCTAGTTTATCCAACTGAAATAAATAGTGGAGATGTGAGCCAAAAGATAGAATGCAATGTTCTGAAGGTTTCCGGTTGCAACTGCATGAAATGAATGAAAATTGTGGAACCTCCCGAGATAAAAACAAATAGCATATTCAGATATATCAATAAAGCTTGGCTTGTGTTTGTTATTTTGTCTCCCATTAATAATTCATTTCAAAAACATTTTATCAACTTTCGATATTAAGTTTTGTCTCAGATTATTAGAGACCTGATACTACTGGTAGCTAATCACTCATCAGTGTCAGTTGAAATTCAATTCGCAACAATGAGGAAATTATGAGTACAAAAGTGCTTCGCAGTTGAAAAAAAAGTGTGAAGGTGTCCTGGCTGATTTTAACAAGTCATCTGCCCTAGCTTTTGTTTGAACTGTTTCAAATTTAATAAGTACTGGAAATGGTGGTGGTTATAACTAGGCATGTCCAAAATATTCCCAAACTAGATCGAATCTAGATCGAATTGTTTCGCGGTTAATTCAGGAATAATCGAATTGTATGATAATATAAAACAAAGCACACATGGCAAAAAGGTCTTTTAGCCACTTGCATGCGTAAATAACTCCCGTCGCTCGTATAACTGGTTTCCGTATATTTCTCTCGCCTTCATCTTCAAAAATGTTATGTTACAATCTCCTAAAGTCCGATGGCATGATGTTATTCATATCATGTATGCTCCTAATTTTAACCTGGAAATTAATTTTGAAAGAAAAGTAGGAATATCAGATATTAGGTGGTGGTGGATATACAAGGTGGTCAAACTTCGAACAATTTTTTTTTATGTGTTTTCTATATTATTATATTTAAATAAATAAATATCGTTCTGTGATATAATTTTAGGCCACATTATCCTGTTTTTTCCACAATTAGCAATTTCCCCAAGAAACTATGGCTATTGTATAATTTCGCTTATTATTTGATGCTGAATCTTGTGCTATCGCTAGTCCATTAGCAGAGACGCTGCATAAGGAACATGTTTCAAATACTGGTAGTATGGAATATCCTTTCTATAAAGAAAGTAGAGTCGATATCAGCTCATATGAAACAACCTATCCTAAACACGATTAAAAGTATTTCGGTGTAAATTTGCCTTAATATGATATTATACAACACATAATATATAACATAATATTTTTGATCGCGAGAGTGAAATGAGCTGACTGTAAAACAAGATTGTTTATTCTAAGCAGAAAATAGAACACTCCAAAAAAATTCAAATGACCACCATGACACACTTTCCTTCAACTTCCTATTTGCTAAGTTGATTACTTACATTTATTTGTTCGAGTATTTTGGCCATTTCCGAATTTGAAATAAAGGAAAACTCAACATATCATAATTAATGATAGGGCTGAAAAAAATAAACAAAACGTAAAAAAAACATAACTAAAAAAGTTGATATTTAAGGCAGACAATATGATCATAAAATTCTGTGAAAAAAAGGATGTTGGCCAATGAGATAATAAATATTTTTTTTTAAAGTTATTTGTGTTAATTCAGAAAAAATTCTGTTTCACAGAATGCCACTATGATTTTGAGCAACGTCCAAAAAGCTTAGCCATAAAAAGTAGAATATTCGTTTCCGACATCTTCACAGCTTTACTTTTCGCTCATTTATATTGTGTGAATCGTTGTTCCGCAAACAGACGGGCAAGTATCAAGTGATATGTTAACAAATATTCTTGATATTAATATTATACCATCATATATCAAACGCAAAGGGGAATAGTTACATGTGATAATTGTAAAGGAACTAACAGTAACACTCGACCAAATGTGTGTTGTTCTAGGACAGTGGTTCCCAAAGTGCGGTCCACGGATCTTTTCGGGTATGTGAAGAACTTTCGGAGGGTCCGCGAAAAAAAATCTCTTATATGGCTCATAGCTTGATAATACAAAAATTAAGTGCTCAAATTTGCAAATACACATTTGTCGCCTTTTGCTGCTTTGCAATCACTGCTGGAAACATTGATTCTTTACTTACTGTCCCGATCATGCTGTCCTATTGTAATGTCACAGAGCTGGGCCTGTGATATCACAGAGAGAAGTTGCTGCCAATAAACTAACTGCACAGGTGTAGCTGACACTGCTTTTTTGAGAGAGTTACAGTAATAATAATGACATAATGTTTATTTTGAAAACTCCATAATACTGTAATACTCACAAATTATAAACGGAAAATTCTGGAGAGTCGGCAAAAATTTTGAAAAGGTTTAAAACATGAGATTTATCATGTGCCCGCCCACAAGCACAGAAAAAAAAAATTAAAAAAAAACACAGACCTAGTTAAACGAGGCTTGGGTCAGAAATAAACAAAAAAGATGCGCGAATGTATTGAACTTCAGGCTGTTATACTTTTGAAGCACTCAAGCTATTATAATCCTAAATTTATTGAAAGGATGGAAATATAAATTCAATTTTTAATTTTTTTGGAAAATTACACTGACTGACTGATACAGATACACATACAAATACTGATATACAAATATATGTTGTTAGTTAAAGTAACTGAGTAATGTTTATTTTGCTCCACCCCTCCGTGATATTGCGATAAACCAAAATCGTTGGCATCAAATGTAAACCTTGATCAACAGATAATATTATTTTTGTAATAATCAAAAAATTGATTATTACAAAATAAAACCCTCAAACACCATATTACTCCACCTATAGTTTTAATATCAGCATATCAGTACCAATACTAAAAGAAAGAATAACGGAAGGATGAATATCTTTTGAAATAATAAATTGTGTGTGAGTATGTCTGTAGGTGTAACTGTCTACCAGTATATTTTTAATATTCCATCACAGTGTTTCTTTTTCACATCCATAATACAGTTGCTTGAGTTTTTGATTTATCTCAGTAATCTCATATTATTGGACACTTACTTTAGTGGACATAACGATCGTTTCAATATTATGTTGTTATTGTTATTTTTCTTCGTCACCATCATTATAAAATCGCTTTTCTCTTCGAATACTGGACCGATTGCTTTTAGTGGTTAAAGTTTGATTTTTTTTTCCAGAAGGCTATTACTTTTATTTATTCCTAAATTTCCTATGAATCCTATGAGATCTAATATTTCATTCAAAATTTCGCTGTTCTAAAATTAATTCACAGGAACACTGTTTTGAACTTATTTCAAGCGATTTCGTGATCGAGCCTGCAGGTACGGTACTGCTCAGTTACCGTACCACAGTGAATTTAGCTTATTCCTTTCGCGATCTAACTATTGCAGTAAAGTCAAATGTAGGTTTTCTAGCAAATCTAGCCTACCGTATTTGTTAATTTTGATGAGAGCAAATTGAATTGAGTTTTTAAATGCCAGAGAAGAACCCTTCCACGATCAAATAATCATTAATATTCATAATAATAATCATCAATAATCATCATCAATCATAATCATCCGACTATCGTCGGATGCGGACGTGTCAGCTTGAAAAGACTACGCGTTGTATGTTTCGGTATCTGTAATCTGTATCGCGTAATATCAACATCAGCAAAGCCCATCCACTGGAATTAAAGAAGTTTATGGATAAAAAATTGGATTTAAAGTTAAATGGTGGACGATCTGTTACGAGTATATTGCGAGGTTTCGATCCTTTTATGAATCTAGTCGTGGACTTCGTTTTAAGTCTCAGCTAGAGGCATGGAAGGGTAAACAGGTGAAATACTAGAATTGAAAACTAAACAAAAAGTAATAGCGCCGAAGATAACAACTTGGTTAGTGGAAACAAATGGAATACAAAAATTAGAAACAATCAACATCCTAAATGATGGACAACGAAATAATAGACTACTTTGGCATTGCTGTACAGGCTACCCAAGATTCTAATTTTACATATTTGCTTCGCAAAGAACTAAGGAAAAAGAGATGGACAGGCATTTTCTATGAAACATTGCACCTAGCACACTACAGCACATCACAACGTCGGATTTTATTTACAAAGAGGAAATCAACCAAAAGACATTTCGATTTATTTATTACTAATTCTGACACTGCTTTTATCTAACTCACTAGTTCGCACTTGTTTACGCCAATTTAATAAACACAGCCCGAATCATGTCCATTTCGACGTAAACAGTTTTAAATTAGAACCTACGCACCTGCATTTTGTTTGTAACACAAGTTAGACGCCCGGACGTTGGAACGATAACACGTTCGTGTTTTTATCTTTTTTTTGTAATATGTTTGTGAGTGTAATATCATGGGTGAACAGGCACATGTATTTATACGTGTTTTAAACCCTACTCGAGGTTTTGCCTGTTTTCCCGATTTCCCATTATTCTGTGTGTTTGTTTTATGTGTTCATTATTTGTTATGTGTATGTTTTTTTGGGGAAATCAAAATAAAGATTATTATTATTATTATTATAATAACAGGCCTACAATACAGCAACAGGTACTATTAGGTACCGTACGGTACCTTTGTAAATTACGCTCTCAACTTTTCGTTACAGTTTTGATGTGAACAACATAAATTTTGTAACCTATCTTTTTTTTTTTTAATAAGAGGAAATGAATTGAGTTCTGATATGACAAGAAAGAACCGTTCCGTGAACAAATATCAGGTACCGGTAATCTACTGTACCGTACCACATAGGATTATCGGGGAATCGATATTTTCTACTTATTTAGGTCTGGTACCGTAATGGAGAAGTGACTCGGATCACTTGGTATTTCAATTCACGTTGAAATTGGATGGAGAAGAATAGATCATTACCGCAGGACATGGAAGAGCTATGACAGTCCCTGTACCTCTATTTGTACCCAAGTATTAGTAAGTCAGTTACCATAGCCATGTAGCTGTTTCACTGTTCAAATTCGTGCAGGATACCGTACTGAAGGCGTAGGGTGCCCCATGGTTTTCGGTGAAGTGATGATAATATATTTTGTTTTATTCTAAGTGTCCATATATTTGAGCATAGCTCTCTTGTTCTTAATACAACCAATGACTCCAAATAAAGTGAGAATTCTGTCTTGATACAACATACCTTTTGGTTTCACTGCAGCTAGGGATGGGCAATATAGAATAATTTATTATTCTAGAATAGTTAAATCGAATCCAGAATACCGAATCCTATTCTATTTTCATACTTATTCAAATAGTGGGAATTTCCACATTGCTGGATTGTAAATGTATTATTATAAATGTATTATTTATTTGGAAATTTGATACTAAACAGGCATATCCCAGGACAATCAAATTTAAAAATATTACAATATATTTTGCCTTCAATTGTTCCGAATGTATGTAATCCCTAAATACTGATATGCTAAATTAAGACACGCTTTACACACTTTAATAGTAAGCGGTTAAATACAAAAATAGATATGAACGACGTTAAATCTTTTTTATTATTATTAATGTTAGTCTGCCGAGTATACTAAATCATACCCGCTGAGAAATATTAGATTTGATCTAAATTAATCGCAAGTAACATTTAACACCTTGCTTCTGGTTTACAAGCTTTACAATTTACATGCATCATTTTTTGGACAACTCGCAGGTCGCGAAAATCATTTAAAGTAAATTGAAGCAAGGCACATCTTAAAGATCTTTGCAGTCAGTTTATCGGAATGTTAAGAGTCGGCACAAATAATTATTATTTTACGCTAACTAGACAGTGAAGCGGAAACGCAAAAATGGTGCAATAAGGACTCTTCGCCTGATGTGTTCATCGCCGTCGTCTTGTTATGAATACGCCGGGTGAGATTACCGTTATTTGATGTTTACCGATTTTGCGGGTTCTTCACGAGAAAACGCAAGTATAATTAAACGAGAGAGATATCCACGCGAGAGAAAACGCTCGTTTTTGATTAATAAATTGGGAACAGGAAATACAAAATTGACGCATGGCGCTTTGGCGCCGAAGAGGCGGAAACCGAATCCTGTTATCGGATATTTGTGGATTCGAATACTTTGGGATTCGAATCCTCCGGATTCAGTATTCTATATTGCCCATCCCTAACTGCAGCCTCACTTAATACAACTAAATACCCCAATCAATCTTCAATAGATTTTATCCAATAGAAGCTGCAAACTTTTGCAATGGTTGTCCCTATTGTTTTATTCAAATAAAGCTATAAAGATATGTGCTATGGATCTTCAGTCTAGCTCAGTGGTTTCCAAACTTAGAATCGGAAGGATGCTTGTAGTTACAATTCATCAGACTCAAGTCCTAGTCCCAACTAATGTGTAATCACTGACTATGCAGAGCCTTCGAGCAAAGAAAATAATTCCTTACAAAAACCAAATTTGGGAATAGAGATAGATACATTGTCCCATAATCCCATCAAATGCGGAATATTTGTTAATGCACAATCAAGCGGTACTGTCGGTACTTACAGGTACTGTCGAAAATTTTCAACAAAATTTGGCGATGCAGAATTTAACAAATCCATCAGGAAGTCCACTAGTATGCCAAGACACCCTTAATCATCGCCAATGATTTCCCAATATTAATTAGCCAGGTATAGAAGGGTTTCAGGAAGACTGAAAAAGTCACTAAATACGGTTGTTATTTTCACACGACTAATCTTGTTTAAATTGACAATTGTTTTCATCAGCATTTTTTGTGACACGATTACGTCAATACTTAGTTTATTCCATGCGTGGAACAGGGTATCCAATGTGAAAACTGACTACGTTCACCTATGACCCTAAAGAAAATTAAAGTAATAAATCTACAACTCTCGGCTCAAAATCATTGTAATGAAATACTAAAAATAAAATAGAAAACACCCTGAATTTGGTTTGATCCTGCGAAAGATTATAAAACACTTTTTTTAGATACGCTTGTACGGCACACACTATGTTCCTATGGAGATTACTTCATTGTCACTGACGTAGAGACAGTCAAGCACCTTTTTAACTTACTGTCGGGATTGTACTTGACTTTTTACCCCAATGTAAAATCTAATCAGTATGTTTGATCAAATTCCTATTTCGCCGAAAGGGTTACCTGCTGTGGCATTTGAAGTCCTTTTACTTTGTTGGGAGTTAACAAAACCGCATGATAAGTTGAACACAATTAATTTTATACTGCCAAATAAATTCAAATGTAGCTATCTGCCATTGACTGCGCAAGAGAAAAATCTTGATAACCAAAATTTCCTAGTCCACAAGGAGTAAATTGAGTCATGATCAATTCAACTCAAATCCTAGTACCAAATACTAACAATAGTTTAATTTTAAATCCCAAGTCAAGTTGAGACTTGCAAGGCAATTCGAGTTATTTAAGTACAACAACAACAACAACGGAAATGAATAAACATTAGTCACATTGACGCTTGAAACTTCCACCTTGAGTTAAATAAACCAACTTTTATTGAAAATGGGTTTAGCTATGTATTGAAAAAATAAACTCGGCATCAACACACTAATCTCAAATTATTTTTGCAACAAGCTAATGAAAGTTCAATTTATTTCATGAACATTATTAAATATGGCAATTTTTGTCTCTATTTCGAGGAATTTCTCAATTCTTCTCAAGTCCACAAGCTTTTTGGATAATACTCGAGCCAAGAGATTTTGTTTAGGTGAGTCAAGATGAGTTTGAGTTGAGTCACTTCGGGAATTTGGAAAATAATTTGACTCGAATCAATGACTAGAATCTCTGCAATACTGGTTTTGGCATAAACAATGTATAATCACCGACTGTGCAGAGCCTTATTATAAGCAAACAATGAACAATTCTTTTTCAATAAAAAGGATAACTTGGCAATAGGGCTGTATTGTCCAATGGTTCCTTTAATTCATGCAAGAACATTGATTTAAGCTCTTCCCAATTCAATTTTAATAAGTTTACTTTTAAAGTTCACCAAGAGATGAAATAATTCCTAACTTACCTTTGCATTGCAAGTGTTTTCCCTGAATGCTTTCATTTCTTCTCGTGTGAGATTGCATTCCTGAGCCTTGAATTTCTTCACCTGACATTGTGTAACAACTAATCCAACTTCAGCCCAACCAGCAGGTCCAAGATCTTTGTTGACACTGACATCTAGGTAATCGATCTGTAAGAATAAATAGCATGGTGAGAATATGAGTCACATTATAGAATGTTTTGTTTCTGCAACTGCATGAAATGAATAAAAATTGTGAGATGGTGAACCAGATGGTGAGCTAAAAAGTTGGTCTTTTTAGATATCGATAAAGCCACTTGAACCAGGTTGGCAAATGGTATTATGTCTGCCACTAGTTGGCGCCATCAATAATTCATCAAACCTACATCTTTATTACCTTACAATATTAAGTATTGTCACCGAGACCTGATACTAATGGTAATTAATCACTTATCAGTGTCAGTTAAAATTTACTTCACAATCTAAAGTTCTGAACCTATATGTTGGATGCCAAATCAAGCTTTGGTGAAAGTTTAATGTCTGTACAATGCTGGAGTATATTTTATGAAAAGCAAGCAAAAGTAAAACTATCGATCTTAAAGTCATTTGAAAACTAAATTTAATGCAAATCAATTTTTTTAGGTGTCAAAGCATCAATATCATTATCAATTGAAAACTATAGCAATGTCCAAATTCTGGTCAGATATTCATCAAAAATGTACCTCATAGTTAAAATTAATTGAGTTTACCATTAATATCAGATAAAGTTTCTGTGCATCAGGGACATGGTATGGGGAGAGAAGAGCTGACCTGACGGTTTAATCATGAAGTGAACTATGCTTTCATATGAGTGTTGGGGAGCATGAGTTGGAAAATATAGATTTAATGGGATCTACAAGATATCTCAGTGGCCCCAGCTCCTGTGCATATAATTATTTTTTCACAATCCTAATTTTATAACACTTCATACAAATAACAAAATCTATCCTTTTAGCAATATTCAATTTCTGATATTAATTATGATGTTAATTTGATATAATAAAAAGTTTGAAGCTCAAGTTTATTAAATATTTTTGGCTATCGCTAGTACTTAGAAGAGACATGGCAATTAGCAGATACATTGCAAGGGGAACATAGTTAAAATACCACCTTCCTATACGGAAATTAGCGTCATTATCAGCTCAAACTAATAAAAGTTGAACAGAAACGAGCTCCATTCGACTTCAATTTGAGTAAGTTGATCACTTGATCAAACTTGTTTGAGCAATCCCGACAATTCAGAATTTTAAATAAATGAAAACCCAACATATCATGAATTTAAATAAACAATCATCAAAAAAGTTATTACTTATGGCCATAAAATACCACCAAATCCCTATTATATACAACCAATTTGAGTTAGATGATAACTAAATACTTCCTGTACCGTGACATGTGCTCTTAACAATAAAATGGCTGTTTATGTGATAAACCCTATTTTGAATGAATTGGATGATTACCGCAAATCTGTAGTTCGAAACATAATAGCCTAAATTTCCATTCCATCACCAAACAATACCCTGTTGCATATCAAAACTTTCTGAATGCCTCCAATGAATTCACAAAGAAATGAATGAGGGCCCCCGCTTTCGATTCATATATTTTCGATTTTTCAAGATGTTTTTGCACTAGAAAAGCGTGAACTTTAGACAAATGACCACTCTTGTTCATAGAAACTAATCTAACTAACTAATACCTCACCCGACATAGATTGAAAACCGAACGAGAGGGTGTGGCAGGGCATATCTTATCTGTTTTCTTCCCTCCTGGAATAAATTGAAATATCCTATCCCAATTGATTTTTCAAATTTAAAATTTTCATTTCAAAAACGGAAAATTGCCAATTTTACAACGGCAAAAGTGTTACACAAAATATGCATTCATGGTGAACACTGCTAGCTGGCATAAGATAACAACATATTTCTGTAACCTAACGGCATCTATACGAAACTGCGAAATGCGACACCTCTTCAGCTAAATACAAAGTCGACCCGTTTTTATCACTGCTTCATTATATGATCCACATGCTTTCACTTCTCAATGAGAATCGCCCCTTGATTACTTGAAAAAAGAATAGTTTTAGACCTCAAAGGTGTGACGTTCTGACAAACAAACAATGTACAATGGGACCGGAAGAGAGGTGGTTCACGTAATCGCTATATTGATATTTTAACATTGTCGTAATTTGAATTTGCCGCAACTGCGAGTCGCATTTAACAAAAGTAATATAGAAAGACATTTCAACCGCTCATATCTGTCATGCGTTGAATATTTTGTGCAAAAATAAATCACTATTTGCTGCAAAAGTCGGCAAAATTCCGATTAACCAAAATTGGAAAAAACTATTTGAATACTATGCTAAACGAAAACAATTAGGATATCTCTAGTACAAAATCCACATAGATCATATCACGGGCATGATAACCTAGTAGTTGGATTGTAGCTTGAAAAACTGAAAATCACTTGCCCACAACCTTATATGAAGTATAATAAATTGGTAAGAAAATGTCGGACCGGAGAGATTCCAATCCATCATAATATAGTGTGGCCCCTCACATACTATATAGTGGCCCCTCACATACTATCAGCTGCTGGATAAAACGACTAACAAAAATTTTCTGTAATGACATTTTGAATAGGTACTCATATATCGCCGGATGAGAACATAACATTATTTTCAAAATTCTAGATATTCACACTTAGTATACCCTGAGGTATGGTTATATTGATGTGGATGAGAATATCTTTGTAATCAATATCTTTTGGCAATTATTTCTGGTTTTTCTCCCTCATAAATGACTTTGGCCCACTGAACAAATTCTTAGGGATGTAAGTTTCGGACAATTTATTTCTGATGTTCATGCCCATCATATTGGAACATAGGCCCATTCTGTTCTTAACTTCCACAAAATATTATGGTCCTAAGTCCAGCTAAACTTTTTATCATTGAGAAATTCGAAATTTCAAGAGCACCATCTTGTAGAGCAGGGATCTCAAACTCAATTTACCTGGGGGCCGCCGAGACAGAGGATAGTGAGTCCGGGCCGCATCCGGTTTTTCACAACAAAAGCATCAAACTTAAAAAGTTAAATCTTTTTCTTTGTTTTTCTATACGCAAAACATGTCAAAAACGTAAATGCAAGTAATTCCGCGATGGACCTTATCCCGAGCATCTACTTGTTTATTCAGTAACATTGGCTAATCAGCAAGACGCTAAAAATGGCCTAACAATAGACTTTTTCGCAAACGCTCAAACACTCGTCACTCAGAAAGATTTTCAGGCATGTTTGTAAACATTACCTTTTGCATGCTATTTGTTAGTTTTGGGTTGTGTTTCAGAAATTCAAGTATGAATCAAAGAACTCAATGATCATTCTGATTGCTTGGGCGTCGTAGCCTAATTGCAGTAATCAAAAATTAGTCTAGAAATAGCTGTGATGGACTAGGCTAAACTTCTCTACCGGTACTGTTGAAAAACAGGTCGTTGAATGTTTTGAATCAAAAGGATGACGTGAAACATATACCCCAGTTTATAGGCTTCAACTCGCAAAGCCACCTCTAAAATACGCACCAAGAATTTGCGATGGTAAAGTATAAGAAAATTTTCTTCGGGGTTAAAGGTCCATCGAATATCATGCCTACAAATACGGTACAAGTAGGTTACCGTACCGCATATGCTTTTCGGGGGATAGATGATAAAATATTTTGTTTTGCTCTACTTGTCCTGATCATATATTAAATGCATCAATCATTCTAACTGAGCTGAGTGACTTACGGGCCGCACTAACATGAAACTTTTATACCAAGGCGGAGGCCGCAAACTATCGTCCTGTGGACCGCAATTGACCCGCGGGCCGTGAGTTTTAAACCCCTGTTGTAGAGCGTAGCTGAAAACCCCAAAATATTGAAAAAAAGTGTTCTCATCCGGCGATATGTGTATACATCTATCTATTTATGTATACATCAAGATCACATGAACACGCACGCTTACACGCATGACTTGCCATATCTGACAGCTTATCAATTGCTTGTTACCAGCGCACCTTTCATTTGGGTTTTTAAAAAGTTTGATGGCCATGTACAACATATACACTGAACAGAAAAATATGAATCTAGTTTGTAAAACCTAATACTGCAAAAAGCTTTATGGAAGTTCGATTTATGTAAGTTTATTAGACATGATTGTCATGTACAAAGCTGTTTTCCACTTTTTTTCACTTCAATTTGTACTAAAACCATATAAATGAAATATCTTTTCGAAAAGTATGCTCATCAGAACGAATATTTATATTTAATATTACAATAAATTATTTCAATCATAATCTAAGATTGGAATTATATGCCCACCTTCAAACAGGAACCTTCTAGATTTGATTGCAGGATATGAGCCAACTCCGCATTTAGATCACATTTAGCAAGACAAACCATAACTAGTTGTTTGCAGCGTCGCATGACTGATGACATGAGATGCATTCCTGCTGTAGTGAAAGATATATCAGTAAATTCGATTATCCTCTTGATTTGGTGGTAGGATTGAATTAGATCGGTGTCGTTAGCTTCATATAATGTTCCATACAGCTCCATATTCTGATATGGTTTCATATATCCATATGACTGATATTCGAGAAATTCTTTCAGAATTCTTCTCTTTTCATCTTGTCTGGCATCTGGTAAGTTTAAAAAATATATTTAATTTGAGTTTGGAGTTGAAACATAATTCTTAAGGTGATTACTGTAAGTGGAAACACATTGTGAATCATGAGGGGAATACTTGTGGTTGTGGGCAAAAGGTATAATTGAGCAGAGTAGATAGCATAACTGTTATGACTAGACAACAGGCTGCAATTAAAGTACCGTGTATAATGAATCCTTCATGTTGACTTTTTCTTTCAAGTATCAAAATACTGGTTGTCAACCAGATGTGAAATTGGTATGAAAGACATGACAAAGTATTAAACTTACCAGGAGAAAAGTTTGTTATGAGTTTGCTTTCAATATCAGGGTTCAGAATAATTCCACTTAGTAGACGACGAACAACTGCCCAGTGATCGCCTTCAATCTCAGTTTCAACAAAGTTGCGAAACATGGTAGAATCCATATTTGATATATAGAGAGCGGATAAAATTTCTTGGATGACTTGATGACTGAAGAACATCAGATGGTCTATTTCCATGAGACGTTGGTTAAACATGCTTTTCCCAGGTACGTTGATAATAATGCTATTAACTTCACGGGATTCAAGTTTAACTTTTTCAAGATCATGAATTGTGAAAATAACTCTCTTTTCTTTAGTGCCATCGAATGACATTTTCATCAAGTTGCAAAGTATTTGTTGAATTTGTTTGTCCTTTTTTTGTTTGAATTCATGGATGTGATCGGATCGCGTGAAAATGCGGAGGATTTCTAGCACGACCTCGGTCATAGTATCTGCCAGTTTCTCGGGGTTGAACTTACAAACGATTGCATTATAAATTAGGAAAAGTGGAACAGATGAAAACGCAATAAGTGCCGGTGACTGCATTGTTAATTTCTCCCAAGCTTTTTCTCCGGTGTCTCCCAAAACCGCAATGAACAACCTCTTAACGTCATCTAGATTCAGACCAGCAAGGGCAGTCATAAATTGAGGCCTCAGTTCTAAAGGGAGGCGTGCTATTCTGTGCTCACGTGAAGAAATCACGATTGTCATCTTGGGAAAGAGATGGCCTGTTATGAGATTGTACATGATAGTTGCTGTGCTCGATTTATCAGTATACCTCATCTTGTTGTGTTTTTTTTCAATGAGACTCCAAGTTGCCTGATCCAGGCCATCAAGGAACAGAATGCACTTTGATTGATTTTCTTGCATCCATTCATAGCCACCTTCTACAGCTGGTTCTGCGAGTACTGGCTCTATTTTTCCAAATAATAGTTCATGTGGACTGATTTTATCATCTTCTGTAGTTCCATTGAAAATTGGAATATTTTTTATTTCCAGGTGATGAAAAAATTCAAAGCGACGTTCCGGCTTCAATTTTTCATCAGCTGGGGCTTTGTCTGCGATTTGCAGTCTTCCGGCGAGACGTTTTGTCATTGTCGTTTTCCCGCTACCGGCCTGTCCGATCATGGCGGTGTACCTGTATTTTTTGCTGCGTAACTGTTCTACGAGTTCATCTAGAGAAATAAGTTCTCCATATTTTTCTTCACTTTTTTTAACTGAAAATCCAGGCTCGATATTATATTCAGTAACTTTGGGGGCCATTTCTCCTCTGTAGAAATCAGGCACTTCTCTAAGTTGGGGATTTACTTCAAAGTCTGGTTCATTTAATTTTTGTGCTCTGTAATTTTCTGTAATGTTCACTTTTGTTTTATTTGCGGTTCTCTCGTAGAAATGGTCAATAAATTCTGTTGTGTGCTCTCCTAAAAAGTTTTCAAAAACAATATTAAGTTTGCTGTACAACACTAAATTGTCATACAATACTGTAAGTTCCAGGGATGGCCATTTCCTTATAGTAAACTATTCCGAATACATTCTAAAATCAGCAATTTTTGTTTTAGTTTATTAATAGGCAATAAGCTTCAATATAAATCTCAGAATAAAGTCACAAACTAACAGAATATGTACACAAAGTAATTGATAGTTTATAAGTATCAAATAGAATTGTATTCAGATAAATAAGTATATTTTCTGAAAGTAATAAAATTCATTCATATTTTACTTACTGTATGTGTAGAATATTGTTATGCCTTAAATTAGCAATAAGTTAGAGCAGGAGTGTGCAAACTGCGGCCCGCAAATGAAAATCGTGGGGCCCGCGAAAAGTGATATATACACGCGACATGAGTTTTCAGTTTAGTTAATCTGGTACGTGCAAGAAATTCCAATCTCTTTGCATCGCAAAGCCTAGACCAGTACCTGTCAATGTCATATTAGCAAATCTAGCATATTCTTGTTCCAACTGAACTCACTGAATTCGTTTAAAGTCGGTGTGACAATAAATTTGAAAACCTGTTTTCTTTAGAAATTTGAGCGTTTTCAAGAATCATGCAAAAATAATATTTTTTGCGCTTGCAACTACAGTAGAAACTCTACCTACAAAATTAATTTGTTTAGTAAGCCTCTTTGTAGGTAAAAATTTTGTAATCAGGGACATATATTACTTGTAAATGTCTTAATCCGTTTTAAGCCCCCACAAAACTCGGATATAATATTTGTATAAAGTATAATAATGTTTAAAATCCGTAACAATAACATGCTAGAATTGAATTAATGCCTAATAAATAAGAAAAGTACACATGGAAAATAGAAATGACAGTGAATTACAGAATAAAAACTAAGAACAGTATATTTGTTATCTCAGGCATTGTCTGACTAAGCTAGGTTAAATGAAGACCACAGAGAGTGGCAGGACGGCGGTGGGAGGAGGCGAAAAAAGTTGACCGATGAGGGAGAATGTAATATACGAAAATGAGCACACACACATGAAATTCAAGTTTTTTTATGCGTTACGCTGTAAATTATACTTTCTACACTTTGATTGTTAGGTTATCGTAAGTTTATTTAAACAGAGCAATAAAATATTGAAAGGTTGTAAAAAGGTTGTCATATCAAATTAACAGGTATTCCAAGGTGAACATTGCATAACTTATGAATAACATTTTGTTCTATAGTCAAGTTTTTAGGAGTCCAATATATAACTAAAGTAGTAGTTAGCCGACGACAACCAACGAATTAGTTTGCATATAGAAGTCGATAAAAAAAGTTAACAGAAGCAGCAAATTTTCGTTATAGAGTAAATTAGTACAGTAGTTTTTAGTCTGGGTGTGAATCACATATGTTGTTATTCAGGGGACTCACAATATGAAGCTATGATATAATATTGCTTTAGACTAATATTGTATAAAAAGACTGAATATTATCCTTAGTTCATACCTGATGAATAGGAAATCTCCTTTTTTTTCTTTTTTGATTCGGCAGATGGTGCATCATTCTGCACTTGATGTTGTTGTTCAGCTGTAGGCGGCGTTGCTGAAATTGAAATATATATTTGGACAATGCCGGGATTATATTCTATGATAAAAGTACAATTTTTCCAGCCTAAAGTTACCATCCAACGCAAAAGGTCTAGGCTTTACTCTACCTTGAGACGTGCTGGGTGCGTAACAATTCCATAAATTATGCAGGACATTGTTTTGGCCCAGACTAAGAAGTCACTATTCATTGCAATAACCCCCCTCCCACCCCAAGAGTAATACGCCAATGACTCATCACTCAGGAAGTTGAAAAAAATTTCTCACAAACTTTTCAGTGCTATGTATTGTCCCAAAGTACATATTTCATACCCTAATTTGACCAAATTTACTGTCATAGTCAAGTTTATTTTTTTCATCCAGTAAAAAAAATTAACATCCAATATTAAGACGAATAATATTGAATACACATTTCACTGGGGAAGGGAAGCCGCGGGGAACCAAAGCTGGTTATCAAGCAGCGACACCCAAGGTTCAGATATCTGAATATACATTAGACAAGTTTTAGCAACTTGATTGTTGGAGAACTGTTATCATAAGCGAGTCTTGGTAGGTGAACCCTATAATCGATAGTTACACAACCAGCTGGACCGTGGTTGTGGAGAATAATATTTTTAATAAGGAGGTTCAAATTAGGAGTCGCATCATCTTGTAGTCCAGCTTGTGGTGCAGCTGCCAGGAGTCAATCATACAAATAGTGCAGGAAGTTTGTGTGCATTAGGACTGTCAATAACTCACTGTAAGTATTTTGGAATAGAGAATAGTACAAAGTTCATTACTGATGTTTTGGAAGTTGCTTTTTATCATCAAAATAAATTGCAGCCAATAGTTGTGACTAAATTTCAAGCATTTTTCAATATGTAGGCATTATAACATTACTCATAAATACTGTGTTTGTACTATCGCCTTTTTACCCAGAAAGAAATCGCAGTTGCTATTCCGGGTTGGTCAAGTCGGAATCAACCGGTGGCCGCAGTCCTACACTATATGCTAAGATTAACATGTTTATCCCAAAGCAAAAAAGAGAGCCGATAAGTCTGCTCAATCATATGGTGAACCACGGCCTCTCGTCCGGTTATCAGTCCAATTTGGGTAAGGAATAGTTAGCCAGTTATCTGTTCAGTCAGATACATGAATTTGATGGTGGTGGAAGCCGTAACTGACCAACAGTTATGTGAACCACCCTACGGCGACGGGAAGTCCAGTAATCCTTTAGCAGATAATTATCTACACATGATTCAAACTAGCGAGCTCTGGCAGAGAAACCAGAGGTGCGACGGAGACCATATTCCTGAAGTTTAGCACAATGCGCTACACATCCCAGCTTGATCTAACATCGAATTTAGCAATCCACAACATTGAGACATTTACCTTGATCAAATTCAAAAAATAATTAGTTACCTGTATGTTCTATGTTGATGTTGACAGGGGCATGAAAAATTGTGGTTGCTACTTTTGCTTTAGTTAAAGTTGCTTTACCTAAAAAATTTATATAGAGAGGCTTTAAGTATAATATACCACCAATGCATGATACGCAGATTATTTTAGCATATAAAACATGAAAATTTTTCAATCTCCATGCATAATAGGCACAAACATTTAGTGATTTATGCGGCTAAAAGTTTGCCGACAAAGTTAGAGAAACGACAGCAGTTAACAGATGTACAGCTCAATCCTATCAACTTTGATTCACAATTTTTTCAACGCTTGAGTTAATTAATTATTTCGGACCCTTGTTACTTTTATTAACCATAACGTTTTCTTTGACTAGTATATGCTTCTCCCAAAACAAGCATGTTTTGATTAAAATTAAAAGACTCACGAGTTATGATCATTATATATGAGAATTATTAGCCAGTTGACCATGAAATATCGACTAATATTTTTTGACATTTTCTTTGTCCGTGCATAATACGCACGCATCTTATTTTGAGAAGACAACATTTGACCTTAAAAATGCATATTATACGTCGGAAAATTCAGTGATTTGAAACGAATAAGAAGCTTGCAGCTGAGTCTCCTGAAAATCCTCGTTTCGATCGTTTAATTTGAGAAAAAAAATAGGAAATTTTATTGTTTTTTTGTATTGAAGTGTCGTCAAATGTATATTTGGGGAATAGAAAATCGTTAAAACTTGGCAACTTACATTTTGCTTATGTTAAATCGCACAACTACATGCTGTTTAGTATTAGATCATATCCTTGAGATGAAAAATTTCACAAAATTTTTATTTTTTTTTAAATTTGGGTCACTTGAAAAAATATTGGGAACCACTGGACTAATCAGTTCAACAACTTACAAACAATACAATACTAAGTGCTTACCAGCATCCATGTAAATGTTTGATGAATCAATATCAACATTAACTTTAGCGGATTTCTTTGCTTTCAAATATGTTGCAGAACCTTAAATAAAGAATGATAAATAAGGATGATACATACTTTTAAATTAGAATTTATTGAGTTTTTTAATTTTTCAGAATAAAATCTTTTTAAACAGTTTTTATGAATACAAACATGCACAGAGAAACATCATAGGATTGGGAGTCATATTTATTCTGTATAATACATGTATGTTTACCTCCCGCCACATTGCATGGTGCTAGAAGGTCATAATAGAGAAACAAGGCCTACTGTGACTATATACCACGCTCGAGGTATGCTATTAGCTGAAAAAAATTGAATTTGTATGTTTTAGACCAGTGTTTCCCAACCCAAGTCCGCGGTCTCAAATGAGTTCGCAGAGCGTTAAAATGAGTCCGCAACGAGTCAGAAATCCACTGCGGGCTACAAACGTTTTTGCGAAACTTAATTAACTATCAGCCAATTTAGGATTTGCGTTGGAATTTACAAAAAAAAATGAAAAGTCAGTTTTTTTCACATGACATCAATCGCGTCAATATTTATTTTTTTTAGGATTTACAAAAAAAGATGAAAAGTCAGTTTTTTTCACATGACATTAACTGCGTCAATAATTACTGTTTACTGAGTAGGGCTGGGCATATATTCAACTATTAGAATAGCATATTTACTAATCGAAAATTTGGTAACATGTGATGCGACAGGACTTTTGCGAGTCACTTAATCGATTGGATTTAACAACTCACTTGTGGATTTCCGACGAAAACAAGAGTCTATACACACTTTGATAGATTTGTAATAGGTGTTTCTCGCGAGTTCGAACAACGAGGAATAAAAAAATTTCTGGTAGGTGTAAATGGTGGCAACCCAAATTTTCTAAATAAAAAGCGGTCGCGACCGATTAAAAATGCTTTTATTAGACATTGCAAATCGCAAAATTTCGGGTGCTACCGTAGTATACGTACCAGGGCATTTTCCTCTAGGATTCTTTGCTTTACTGCCTCCAGATTGGTACGCACAGTAGTAATGTCGAATTCACACAGATTTGTCGAATTCACAAAAATACGAGTCAAAACAAGATATAATCGTGCACTTTACCACGCATTTTAGTGTCCACGGATTGTCATGATATTTTCTGAGTAGTATTGCACTTTTTCGTCAACACAACCGCAGAATAAAAGAATCACACATGGGGATGGATTGAATAGTTTATGCAACAGAAAAAATCATTGAAAAGTCGGCTCTTTTAACGAGTGACGTATACGCGACGATTACTTCAGAAGTTGTTCACGAGAATTTCAAGGCGATGAATATGTATTCTTGATTTACTAATATATATACTTCAAATATATTTTAATAAATACTAAATCGAGTTGTACATTCTGGAAATTTATAGCAGATAGTATGATTTTTTCTAACAGCGATAACAAATTCGCAAGATCGCAAAAATTATGTATCAAAGCTGAATATATTCAGGCAATATATTCTCTCATTATTATGTTCGCAGATGGCAGTGGAATTTTAAAAAAGTAATGCTTTCATCTTGTCGTAGGTCGACGCAACCGCGAGTTACCATGATGAACACAAATAAATTAAAATAGAAATACATTTTAAATTCTCGTCGTTGTCATGGAATGAACGACAGTGCGACAGAAAAATCCATTATACACCAAAAATGTCGGCTCTTTTAACAAACGAGTAATTGCGGCGAATTTCCGATTTTGAAATTCGTTGTGTTTGGTTTTTCTGTTGTGTTTGGTTTTATTGCTGCTTCACACAGAGTACGGTTGCAATAAACGCACTTTGAGTCCGCAAAGGTTTTCGCCGTTGAGAAAATAGTCCACGGCCAAAAAAGGTTGGGAAACGCTGTTTTAGACACATCAAGATATACCTGGTGAGGGTGGATCCCCTTTATAGACAGGATCGAATGCTGTGGCAGCAACTGGTAGTGGTTGATGGGTCGGGGGTGAAGATATTGGAAAGTCTGGAGAAGATGCATCTGGAGAAAAATATAAATTCATGTTTAAAAAAGTTGAAATATGCTGTCATACGATGCAAGTCAACATTTTAGCATTCCAGAAAAAGTTGTTCAAATGTGGTGGCCAAAAGTGAGCTGGACAATATTACTAGAAGATAAAAAATCCTCAGTGACAGCTGTTTTCAATGTGGCTTTGAAAGGAGTCAGTCATGCAAATAGTGCATGGAGTTTTATCTCACCATAGGTAATTTTTGAAAAAAAAATACACTAAAATACATTATCAATTTTGAGAATTTTTTTTTCATCAAAATAAAATTGCAGCCAAAATTTGGAGGGAATTAGTTAGCCAGACTTCCAGTAATGGTTTGTATGGAAATACTCGATATTATTCTTGGTTCATACCTAATATAGAGGAAATTCCTCTTTTCTTCATTTCTTTTTCGGCAGATTCTGCATCATCCTGCTCTTGATGTTGTGGTGCAGTCGCATCATGTTGTATTCCAGCCAGTGGTGCAGGTGGCGGTGCTGAAATTAAAGTATATATCCAATGCAGGGATTATATTGTGTGAGTGTGATGGAAAGACAATTTTTCAAAATCAAAACTAGCACCCAGCAAAAGGTCCAGAAATTGCCTTAACTGAACTGGCAAGTTACTATTCATTGGAATACCCCTCTAGAGTAATCTCATGTGTGTCATGGAACGTTGAAAAAATTACCATTTATTTCATGGCTATGCATTGTTTTAAAGCACATTTATTATATCCTAAAGTGACCAAATTTACTGGACTGTGGTAGGAAAAATAATGTTTTTAATGGCGTAAGTAAACTTTATATATAAATTGGGCACAACCACTGTTATGGCCATTCCCTTACTTGCTATAAAGAAAAACAATCTATAGGGTATGTCTAGAAATGCAGCAACTTTCAAAGACCATGTTAAGTCATCTAGCACTTTGTGGCTGCACCGTCAGGTTTGTTGTGATATGTAATAACAGTTTTTTTACCTTCATGAATTCTATTCGCTTAAATTTGTCTTTTCTAAACATCTCTCAAGTGCGATTAGATAGCTTTTACACGACCCACCCACAAACAGTGACAAACAAATCAAATTGGGATTATCCTACTCAAATAATTCGTTTTAAGAACGACAGTTACTAAGATCTGAGTGAAAAAGCAATATGAGATGAGTATAATAGCATATATAGCTATAGGCATATATTGGTTGAGAAATTGTATTCCCCATCAGATATAATCAAGCAGAATTGTATATGTTAGGAGCTCGAAGAGGCCATTTTCTACCTAAACAGCAGTATCTCACACCTGTTGTTGTTCAGGGGATTCGGCATGATAGCTTGGAATATTTCTTCAATCTATTTTGTATAAAAATACTCGATAATATTATCCTGGGTTCTTACCTGATAAGGAAGAAATTTCCTTTTTTCTCCTGTTCTTCTTTTTCTTCCTCCTTTTTTTCTTGGATGATGCTCGATCAACTTGTGCTTGATCTGGTAGCTCAACAGCATCCTGTTGTAGTGCGATTTGTGGTGCAGACAAAGATGGCGCAGCTAAAATTGAAACATATATTTAGACAATGACGTAATTATTTTGTGTGATAAAAAACGTGCACGCCAATGATTTCTCTTTTATGACATGATTATGGAAATGGACTTTTGAAAATTTGAATAGAAAATTGCCACACCCATGACCATTACAGCACTTTTTATAAAAGCCTTCTACAGTGTCTTTTAGCCTGGGTTAGACAACCAATATATTAAAAAAAATCCGGATATATAAAATTGGATAGGCTATATTGAAATAAAAAGATTTAAATTGCCAGTAGTGTCCCAGTTAGAAGAGTATTAACAGAATCTTTTCAGAGAGAAAATGTAAAACTCTCCAGCTAAAAATTTTACAATGATTTAGTAGCCTAGAAATTGTATTTCAATACAGAATCAAATATTTATTCAAGCAGAATTGTATAGGAGCGCTAACAGGACATTTCACACCTGCTGTTGTTCAGAGGATAGTACATGTAAGCTTGTACTATCGCATTACACTAGTTTTGTATGAAAATACTCCAAATTATTCTTGGTTCATACCTAATGAAAAGGAAATTGCCTTTTTCTTCCTTTTTGCCTCGGGAGATGCTGCATCATCCTTCACTTGATGTTGTGGTGCAGCCACATTATGTTGTAGTTCAGCTTGTGCAGCTGCAGGTAGCAGTGCTGAAATTGAAGTATATATTTAGACGATGCAGGAATTATATTCTGTGGTAAAAATACAAGTTTTCAAACCCAAAGCTGTCTAGCGGACCTTGCTTTGCCTGGTGACACACCTGGCATATAACAATCAATTATGCCGGGCATTATTTTGGCCCAGACCAGCAAGTCACTATTCATTGCAATGCACCTTAAAAATAGGATGCTAACGACTGATGCATGTCATTTAATATAGATTGAGCACAAAGCACTCTTTACGACTGTCCCCTTCTATGCAATAGACCAGGGATAGTCATGAGTAGTCGATCGCATCTGATGTCGAGTGAACTTAATAGCATACCCCAAAAATCCAGTTTCATGCAGTGCCTGTTGTGTGTTTTAAAACAGGAGGAATATAATATTGTACATGCGTAAAATATGATACACATGACATACACTAGGGTGGTCCAAGGTTGAGAGGTTGGCGGGCCGCAAAAACTTCTGAAGAGGTCTCTCGGGCCGCAGTCGGAGAAAACCCAAAACTGATCAAAACATCGCGAGTTTTCTTACTATAGATATGATAAGAATGAGAGTTATCGTTCTAATCAGTTTTTCAAGAAGACTATACGAAGTCTTTAGTTTTTTAAAATTGCTGCCCGAGAAATATCGTGGTATTTTGGTGGTATATCTTTTCTCGTGTTTATTATATATTTTTCATTCGGGATAGGTATTACTTTAAAACACACCAGACACTGTGATTTACCGTTGTTGTGGGTAAGGAAATACGTTTCCTCTTAGTTTACTCGGTCACCCTTTTTCTACACTCATTGTATGATTAATTCTTATATGTATTTGAAAAAATTTATGACTTGTAGCGTGAGCAGGACTAGTGCTACATTCAAAAAACAACCATGTATAGACCCAGATAAAAAAAAAACTTGATTGCGCGGCGCCAAGTCATTTCTGCGGTTCGTCATTGCTGTCGCATCGGCTTGGTTCAGTCTGCACAAGACAATTCATTCCCCTTTTACCGACAACAGAACGCCATTCCCATCATATAGGCACCGTCTTGACGTTTATAGATATAACAATGAAATTCTGTGATTTTAACAAACATCAATCCCGATATCGGTACAAATGATCCTACAATATCTTCTGCAGTATGCAACAAATTTCATTTTTAACGATAGAAGTGACATCTTGCCTTACATCCGATATGTAATATTAGAATAAATCTCAAATGTAAAGGATGAAACATTTAATCCGGGTACAATTACGTAATTGAATTAAATCAAATTAAAAATACATATTTTCACATTACAAATACATTAAAAAAAAATTTCCACATTCACATTTAAAATACATATTTTCGTGGCGATTTCATTAGAAAAGTGCCCACAGATCCAAGCTTATTGGCGGCGGTAGAATTTTTTGGATGCATGTGTGCAATTATCTGCATATCATTCAGTACTCACTCGTTTATGTGTGTGACATTATTGTCGATCGGGAGCTATTTTGAAGATTTTAGTTGATCACCGTCGAAAGCAGGTTGGCTACCCCTGCTATAGACAAACACAACATATGAAGCATGTTTAAAACAAAGTAACTTCCAAAGACCGTGTTAATTCATTTGACACTTTGTCACCTTCCCGTTAAGTTTGTTGAGGGAAACATGATAAAAGTTGTTTTGACTATGGCTTTTATGGAATTTTATTTCTCTAAATTTGTCTTTTCTAAACCTTGCTCATGTCATAAAACAATTATCACTGAAGAGTGATTTGATAACTTTCAAAAAATTAAAGCACATGTCTTTATTATAATTATAACCATCCACGTAATGTGTTTTATCGCCAGAAGTCTTTTCCTATGGTCTCCCAACTGAAATTGGTAATCTTAAACCATTGTATTACTTAGTTTATATTACATATACAGCCCTCCTATGGACTTTTCCCCGACCTTAAACCCCCAAAAAAATTTTCACATACTTTACCATTGCAAAATTTTCGGGGCTATTTTAAGAGTGCCTTTGCGAGTTGGCGCCTGTAAACTGGAGTATGTGTTTCAAACCATCATTATGATTCATTGCATACAACAATATGTTTTTAAAAAGTACAGGTAAAGAATTTTAGCCTAGTCTATCACAGCTATTTCTACACTAATTTTTTCTTACTGCAATTAAATTAAAACTCCTAGGAAGACAGAGTGATCATTTAATTATCTGATTTATATTTAAGTTTCCGAAACACAACAAAAAACTAACGAATACAGTTCAAAAACGCGAAAACGAAGTAATGTTTACGACCACGCTTGTCTGAGCGGATGCGAAAAGGGAGCATTGTTACGTCACTTTTTGCATCTTGCTGATTGGCCAATGTCATGAAGTAAACAAGGAAGTCGATGCTCGGAAAAAGGTCCATTGCAGACTGGTGACGACAAATCTACCAAAAACACTCGCTGCGACGGTGGCCGCATTCCATTGGTCTATCTCTAAATTTTATGGTACCTGTATATCCTCGCATATGAGGCGACCCTAAAATTCGTAACATGTCGCATATATCACAGCAAATGGTTGCAGAAAAGAATTTATGGAATGATAACTAATATTGTCAATGTCGCAGCAAGGTTCGGGGTAGAAACCCCCCATGAAAATTTTTAAAAAAATGAAAAATATGCCAATGACATGTGTGTTTGAATTTTGTTAAAATCATTGATTGTTTTCGTCATAAGTTTTGTATTAAGATCAAAAGCTATTTTATACCCTGCAAATTGCAAAATTCTGTGGCACACTTTTTGCGTTCTAAAACTACCGACGAGGCCTGACGTGACTTCCCAGGATAATTAATGTAAAGTAAATTTATTTAATTTTTGGAAAATAAAATTAATCAGATGGATTTTTCTTTCAGTGACATCGTAAAAATATTATGAGTGGCAGCATTGCGATGAAGCGGGATGTGCCACTGAAGTGTTGCGGGAATAGCTCAAATTGGGCGCTCCAGGAGGGACCAAGTTTTGTAAAGGGACTGAAATCTATGGGCAGTTGGTATATTCACTTGGTTAACACAGACAATCCCGAACTCGTAATAGTACTAAAAAAGCAAAATTTGAGATGCAATCTCTAACGGGCTATTTTCTACTTAAACAGCAGTTGTTCACTGCTGTTGTTTAGGAGACTTCCACACGGAAACTTGTAATATTGCTTTAGTATAATATTGTATAAAAATGCTCAATAATATTATCCTGGAGACATACCTGGTAAAGAGGGAATTTCCTTTTTCTTCTTGTTCTTCTTTTTCTTCTTCCTTTTTTTCTTGGAGGATGCTCGATCAGCTTGAGCTTGAAGTTGTGGCTCAACAATATCACGTTGTAGTGCGACTTGTGGCGCAGACAGAGATGGCGCAGCTAAAATTGAAACATAAATTGGGACACTGCCGGAATTATTTTATGTGATGAAAAAACGCGCAGGCCAATGAGTTCTCTTCTTTAACATGATTACAATACACATGACAAAACTAAAAAGCAGTGATTTCACAGGATTTTCAGAAGTGCATTTTCGAAAATTGGAATAAAATATTGCCACGTCCATGACCATTACAGCATTTGTTATAAAGGCCGTCTACAGTATCTGTTAGCCTGGATTACGGTACACAACCAATTATATCAACAAATTCTGATATTAGTAGCCTAGAAATTGTATTTCAATACAGAATCAAATATTTATTCAAGCAGGATTGTATAGGAGCGCTAACAGGACATTTCACACCTGCTGTTGTTCAGAGGATAGTACATGTAAGCTTGTACTATCGCATTACACTAGTTTTGTATGAAAATACTCCAAATTATTCTTGGTTCATACCTAATGAAACGGAAATTGGCTTTTTCTTCCTTTTTGCCTCGGGAGATGCTGCATCATCCTTCACTTGATGTTGTGGTGCAGCCACATTATGTTGTAGTTCAGCTTGTGCAGCTGCAGGTAGCAGTGCTGAAATTGAAGTATATATTCAGACAATGCAGGAATTATATTCTGTGGTAAAAATACAAGTTTTCAAACCCAAAGCTGTCTAGCGGACCTTGCTCTGCCTGGTGACACACCTGGCATATAACAATCAATTATGCCGGGCATTATTTTGGCCCAGACCAGCAAGTCACTATTCATTGCAATGCACCTTAAAAATAGGATGCTAACGACTGATGCATGACATTTAATATAGATTGAGCACAAAGCACTCTTTACGACTGTCCCCTTCTATGCAATAGACCAGGGATAGTCATGAGTAGTCGATCGCATCTGATGTCGAGTGAACTTAATAGCATACCCCAAAATCCAGTTTCATGCAGTGCCTGTTGTGTGTTTTAAAACAGGAGGAATATAATATTGTACATGCGTAAAATATGATACACATGACATACACCAGGGTGGTCCAAGGTTGAGAGGTTGGCGGGCCGCAAAAACTTCTGAAGAGGTCTCTCGGGCCGCAGTCGGAGAAAACCCAAAACTGATCAAAACATCGCGAGTTTTCTTACTATAGATATAATAAGAATGAGAGTTATCGTTCTAATCAGTTTTTCAAGAAGACTATACGAAGTCTTTAGTTTTTTAAAATTGCTGCCCGAGAAATATCGTGGTATTTTGGTGGTATATCTTTTCTCGTGTTTATTATATATTTTTCATTCGGGATAGGTATTACTTTAAAACACACCACACACTGTGATTTAACGTTGTTGTGGGTAAGGAAATACGTTTCCTCTTAGTTTACTCGGTCACCCTTTTTCTACACTCATTGTATGATTAATTCTTATATGTATTTGAAAAAATTTATGACTTGTAGCGTGAGCAGGACTAGTGCTACATTCAAAAATCAACCATGTATACCCCAGATAAAAAAAAAACTTGATTGCGCGGCGCCAAGTCATTTCTGCGGTTCGTCATTGCTGTCGCATCGACTTGGTTCAGTCTGCACAAGACAATTCATTCCCCTTTTACCGACAACAGAACGCCATTCCCATCACATAAGCACCGTCTTGACGTTTATAGATATAACAATGAAATTCTGTGATTTTAACAAACATCAATCCCGATATCGGGATTAGGAAAAGGACTATTCCAAGTTGGAATAGTTTTAAAATTATATTGTTAATAAATACAAATATCTGCCAATGGTTTAGTAGTATACGCTAAAATTATTCTGCTGGCCGCATGCAGACCGCAGGCCGCAGTTTGGACCACCTTGTAATACACTATTGGAGTCTAGACAAGTCCGATAGCGCAATTCAAGTTTCGCCGCTGCCAAGCTTTAGGAATGAACTTTGCGGGTCATGACTGACAAATGATCCTACAATATCTTCTGCAGTATGCAACAAATTTCATTTTTAACGATAGAAGTGACATCTTGCCTTACATCCGATATGTAATATTAGAATAAATCTCAAATGTAAAGGATGAAACATTTAATCCGGGTACAATTACGTAATTGAATTAAATCAAATTAAAAATACATATTTTCACATTACAAATACATTAAAAAAAAATTTCCACATTCACATTTAAAATACATATTTTCGTGGCGATTTCATTAGAAAAGTGCCCACAGATCCAAGCTTATTGGCGGCGGTAGAATTTTTTGGATGCATGTGTGCAATTATCTGCATATCATTCAGTACTCACTCGTTTATGTGTGTGACATTATTGTCGATCGGGAGCTATTTTGAAGATTTTAGTTGATCACCGTCGAAAGCAGGTTGGCTACCCCTGCTATAGACAAACACAACATATGAAGCATGTTTAAAACAAAGTAACTTCCAAAGACCGTGTTAATTCATTTGACACTTTGTCACCTTCCCGTTAAGTTTGTTGAGGGAAACATGATAAAAGTTGTTTTGACTATGGCTTTTATGGAATTTTATTTCTCTAAATTTGTCTTTTCTAAACCTTGCTCATGTCATAAAACAATTATCACTGAAGAGTGATTTGATAACTTTCAAAAAATTAAAGCACATGTCTTTATTATAATTATAACCATCCACGTAATGTGTTTTATCGCCAGAAGTCTTTTCCTATGGTCTCCCAACTGAAATTGGTAATCTTAAACCATTGTATTACTTAGTTTATATTACATATACAGCCCTCCTATGGACTTTTCCCCGACCTTAAACCCCCAAAAAAATTTTCACATACTTTACCATTGCAAAATTTTCGGGGCTATTTTAAGAGTGCCTTTGCGAGTTGGCGCCTGTAAACTGGAGTATGTGTTTCAAACCATCATTATGATTCATTGCATACAACAATATGTTTTTAAAAAGTACAGGTAAAGAATTTTAGCCTAGTCTATCACAGCTATTTCTACACTAATTTTTTCTTACTGCAATTAAATTAAAACTACTAGGAAGACAGAGTGATCATTTAATTATCTGATTTATATTTAAGTTTCCGAAACACAACGAAAAACTAACGAATACAGTTCAAAAACGCGAAAACGAAGTAATGTTTACGACCACGCTTGTCTGAGCGGATGCGAAAAGGGAGCATTGTTACGTCACTTTTTGCATCTTGCTGATTGGCCAATGTCATGAAGTAAACAAGGAAGTCGATGCTCAGGGAAAGGTCCATTGCAGACTGGTGACGACAAATCTACCAAAAACACTCGCTGCGACGGTGGCCGCATTCCATTGGTCTATCTCTAAATTTTAAGGTACCTGTATATCCTCGCATATGAGGCGACCCTAAAATTCGTAACATGTCGCATATATCACAGCAAATGGTTGCAGAAAAGAATTTATGAAATGATAACTAATATTGTCAATATCGCAGCAAGGTTCGGGGTAGAAACCCCCCATGAAAATTTTTAAAAAAATGAAATAGATGCCAATGACATGTGTGTTTGAATTTTGTTAAAATCATTGATTGTTTTCGTCATAAGTTTTGTATTAAGATTAAAAGCTTTTTTATACCCTGCAAATTGCAAAATTCTGTGGCACACTTTTTGCGTTCTAAAACTACCGACGAGGCCTGACGTGACTTCCCAGGATAATTAATGTAAAGTAAATTTATTTAAATTTTGGAAAATAATTTTAATCAGATGGATTTTTCTTTCAGTGATATCGTAAAAATATTATGAGTGGCAGCATTGCGATGAAGCGGGATGTGCCACAAGGTGTGCCACTGAAGTGTTGCGGGAATAGCTCAAATTGGGCGCTCCAGGAGGGACCAAGTTTTGTAAAGGGACTGAAATCTATGGGCAGTTGGTATATTCACTTGGTTAACACAGACAGTCCCGAACTCGTAATAGTACTAAAAAAGCAAAATTTGAGATGCAATCTCCAACGGGCTATTTTCTACCTAAACAGCAGTTGTTCACTGCTGTTGTTTAGGAGACTTCCACACGGAAACTTGTAATATTGCTTTAGTATAATATTGTATAAAAATGCTCAATAATATTATCCTGGAGACATACCTGGTAAAGAGGGAATTTCCTTTTTCTTCTTGTTCTTCTTTTTCTTCTTCCTTTTTTTCTTGGAGGATGCTCGATCAGCTTGAGCTTGAAGTTGTGGCTCAACAATATCACGTTGTAGTGCGACTTGTGGCGCAGACAGAGATGGCGCAGCTAAAATTGAAACATAAATTGGGACACTGCCGGAATTATTTTATGTGATGAAAAAACGCGCAGGCCAATGAGTTCTCTTCTTTAACATGATTACAATGCATATGACAAAACTAAAAAGCAGTGATTTCACAGGATTTTCAGAAGTGCATTTTCGAAAATTGGAATAAAAAATTGCCACGTCCATGACCATTACAGCATTTGTTATAAAGGCCGTCTACAGTATCTGTTAGCCTGGATTACGGTACACAACCAATTATATCAAAAAATTCTGATATCTAAAAAATTGGATAGGCTATATTGAAATAAAAAGATTTCGATTGCCATTAGTGTCCCTAGTTGGAATAGCTTAAACAGAACCTTGTTCAGAGAACAAATGTACAAATACATAAACGAAAAATTCTGGTATATGAAATTTGGTATGTGAAAAACCGTCTAATAACACTAGAAACCTTGTTAAAACTCTTAAAAACAGTGAAAACCCGTCTAAAAACACTAGAAACCTTGCTGAAATGATTAAAAAACAGTGAAAAACCATCTACAAAGACTAGAAACCTTGCTAAAACGCCTAAAAACAGTGAAAAACTGTCTAAAAACCCCAAAAAAACAACCTGGAACGCTTAAAAACAGTGAAAAACCGTCTGAAAACACTAGAAATCTTGCTAAAACGCTTAAAAAATTTCAAATACCAGTGATGATCCTAGTAAAAGTAGTTACCTAACAGAACCTTGTTCAGAAAGAAAATGTAGAACTCCCAAAAAAAAATCACAAATATTCGTTAGCTACTTGGATTTATCGCTTTAGGAATTGTATCCACTTGTATCATCTATCTAATCAAGCATAATTGTTTACTGTAGGAGCTCTAATAGGTTATTTTCTACCTAAACAGCAGCAGTTCACATCTGCTTGCTGAATGTGATCTACTTGAACTACGCCTGCTTGAGCAACAATCTGATTTATATGTGCTGCATGCAGTTCATTGATTTGTGCCCCTGAAACAAAATTTATTTTTGAAACCATAATATGCATTTTGTGTGATAAAACAAAAATATAGGTTTATGATTCAAACTATGATTCGTTAGCAAAATGTCCCTTGCATGATAATATTCAAATAAGGTTTAAACAGTGCTTGAGCAATTGATCTGAACCAAATTAGTGAGCAATGCTGCAACTACTAATCAAACATCAAACAGGATATAAATATGAAACAGGTTCTCACTGACAAGTTTGTTCTGACATTTTTGATTTAAAAATTACAAAAATTACAAATACATACCTATAATGTTCACATTAGCTCCCTCTTGTGGTTGATCTTGATCTGCCATTTTTAGACAACTTTTGAAATGTCTTTTCTCTCTCCAGGATAAATATGTAAATCCGATCCTATTTCAAAGTCACGTCTTCTTCCACAGACCACATACAGGAATCTTCAATAGCCAGATAGCTATCCTCATATATGAAATAGACTAGAAACCTATTTTAAATTTCTATTCAATAAATAAAATATTTTATTGAGTGGTCAATGCTAGAACACAACTCAGGATTAATTTAATTATAAAACATCAGTAAATACCGGTACATGTCACAATATGTGAAAAAATGCATGATATTTTGACAAATTTGTACAGTTTATTAAAACTAATCCATGATTGTGCTGTCTGTCTCAATCACAATAGCATATATATATATATATATATAGGGCTGTTTTGTATATTTTGAAGAAGAAAAGATATTTTTATCTTTTCAAAATCTACAATTATCTGAATTGAGAGCTTGGTACCAACTGCAAGTATCACTTTATGTAAAATATTTGGTACTCCTGTAGTATGCGAATCAAGATGGCGGACACCGGAGTTGGTCATCAGTAATATAGCAACCCTATCTAAAAAAAAAAAATTCTGATTTCACCTTATAGCTCAGTCAACATTTTATTGAATGACAAAGTGCTTTGTATTGTTTCTACTAAATCATCCTGAGAGAGAGTGATTTATTTCCACAAACAATGAAAAACAATATTAAATAATATCGATAATTTTTATAGAGTTAGACTATAATGAAAACAATCAAAAACAGTATAAAACAATATCGATGATTTTTATAGAAGTAGTCCAATTTACACATTGTTTTGTGTTGGCCAGTATGTAAGACCGTTGAAGGTCATCGAGGCTCCTGCCAATTTAACACTGCTACTAAAAAGTCGGAATTGGTTGCTGCAATATGAATATAAAAAAGACGGTAAGTGAGTCAGCAGATATTTTAGTTCCATGATTCGACACCTGACACAAACATACTGGTCAAAGGTAATCTATTCTCAAAGCAATTCTTGAATGACTGCTTTTTAATCCAAACCCTAAATTCTCAGATTTTAAAAATTAGCAGTAACTAAATATTCTTAGTATTTTTTGTTCGATGTACGGTGACAGTTAGACCTTGAATTGTTGAACACACAACCCACCTCTGTGTTTCCCGATATATTTCCACTTTATATGTAAACCATAAAACATGCAGACAATTGAACTATAATATTATAATTAATAAGTGTGAAATGTGCGATAACGATAAAGCACAAATGTTCATTATCATATCTCCTGTGGGATACAACAAGCAGCATGAAAGTGTCACCTGTTGCCAATACATCACCAAATACTGTTTTTATCTGGATTTTTTTGATCCGACAGAACTATCTGTCAGAACTATTGGAAATAATTTTTTTAACTGTTTTGGTTAACAGAAGTTCTGAGAATATCATTCAATCACAAAAAATATATTTTGGAAAAAATAATATTCCTCTCCCTATTATTATCTTATTATAAAAAATACTATCAGTCAAATAATTTAAAGTAAGTCGACACAGAGGCGAATTACAGTGAACAAAACTAAATTAATATCAATAAATGGCAAGTCATCTAAATACTCGCATCGGTCATGAATTGGATATTTTACACAACAGAAAAATGGTTATTTGCTAAAAATGTCGGCTATTTTAACTACTGGCGAAATCGCGGCGACTAGTTGTGATAGAATTTTATATTTAGAATATTAACTATTTTAGACTCTATACTATAGTGTAGAGCAGGGATACTCCACTATTATTACCGAAGATCTGTTCGTAAGACTTGACAATCGCTGGGATCCATTATTTCAAAAAATATATTTCCCAGTATGCTTGAATATAATTAAGCACCTTAGGAGTGTACAAAAAATGGAAAAGCGATTCGAAAAGCTGAGAAAAAGAAATACCAAAATATTTTCAAAATCGTTAACTCGCATTGTACTACCACGGTAAAGTATATAAAAGTGCATGTATACTACAAACAACTATTGTCTCAAAAGCCAGATGTCCGAACGTGTTTTTGCCAGTGCTTCAGAATGAGAAACAGAAGTGAAAGATCCGATTTAAATCGCCGTCTGTCAGTTGAAAACCCCCGGTGTAGAGAATAATGAATAGTATGAGGCGTCAGGCAGGATGGCCATAACCAAAATCTGACTACTTTTCAATACTTTAAATACTTTATGGAAAAATATTTCCAAATCTGGAATTCTGAACACATTCTAAAATCCTCATAAATTTTATCCACTTCTCTAGAATCCAGGGACATAGGAATTAGGCTTATCAATATTATCATTATGAAGCAGCTATAAAAACAAATGACATATGTAATAAGATTTAAATTAGTGAATTTCTTGCTTCTAAGAAAAGAGAGTTAACGAACATACGGTATTCACAACTATGGATTGGGGTGCATTCTGGCAAGCACAAGAAAAAAGAGCAACTATGCGACCAGGGAAATGTTTTGAATTCTACAGTTAAGTCCTTAACATCACGCACACACATTTTGGCACAGCTAATTTTTCATATAGATTCTGATTCAATAAAAAAACACATATGTTATTACACAATCATTGTCATAATCCGAGTAACTAGTGATTTATTAAACCCGATTCTCAAATTTTCCGTTAGTTAATGCCGAAGAATTAAGACCGAAAATCGTGTTTAATTTTTTGAGTTCGCGCTAATTTAAAAATATTTCATGCCGGCTGTTATGCTTTTATCTTTGCTTGTAAATTAATGACGCCAACTTAACTAGAACGATATTTTCATCAACGACGCCAGGATAACGATACTGAATAATATTTAAATTGAAAAAAATGCAAAAATTTCCCCTTATCCCCGATTACTATCGAAACTGAAGATTAAAACCATTAACTACGGCACAATCCGCTTTTAGATTTATTGCGGTTGTAGCACATATTATCTCGATTAAGTTGAAATGTACGATCATAATTGTAAACGAACGACAGTGCTAGGATGTGTGCCCGGTATTTTGTATTCTTATAAACACAACACGGAAAACGATATTCGAAGGTTGCGATATTCGAATTGGACATTCCTGGCGTCATGCAGTGAGTTAATTATTATTTTATTTAGTATATATTAATAAAGGTAGATATCATTCTGAACAACTCATTATTAAATCGAGCGCTACAAAAAACAGTGAATTAGAAATGATAAGAACGACTCTGTGTGTAGATGAGTTAAGCTACTGTTATTGTGTAGTCTGGTATCTCCTTTATATCGTTTCACAGTACTAGAAAAACTAGTCGACTGATTACGACTGCTAGACAATATTTGTCTAAAAATATTCATTTTCCGAACATTCAGGAAGTCTAAATGTAACTGCTAGACCTAGCTCAGGTGAGCAATAATGGATCAAATTTGTATCTGCTCAAACATGGTCGTTTGAGTTGAAGCGAAAAATGATTAACACTTCATGCTTTGTTTGGTATAAAGTCTAGCCCGTGTTAAGTTACACAGTGCATAATGCCATACCTATAGTCTAAAACTGCATAGAAATATTTAATTCCCATCATTTTATAAATAAAAAGTTGCTTCATCAAGTGTAATTCATTTACGAGATAAATATCACTAGTCCAATATGAATAAAGAAGATATCCTTAACATATAACTATCCTTAATTAACAGATATGAGATAACTATCCATAATTATTTCTAAACTCCTAAATCTAATATATGAAAGAAAATTACTTTTGAATCAATTTAGATATAACATTAATTCTGGGCTTTATTGGCAAATAATTTTGTATTCTAATTCTCTGAAATTATTTTTATTCCTGAATAAGCTAAGTATAATATTTTGCAGAAGACTTGAGTTATATTAGTTTGAAAATTTCGACAAAAATCATGATCCCCTAGGAAATATTCAAAAAGATTGTTGGTTCAATTAACCAAAATCGCTGAATAACAAAATTACCATGAATAAATTACATTGACACAAATTGACTTTGATAAAATTATAGTTCAACTGATTAGCACTTCTAAACAATATTTGTCTAAATATATTCACTTTCTGAACATCCAGGAAGTGTAAAAGTGACTGGTAGACCTTGGCACGGGTGGGCGATAATTGGTCAACTCTGAATCTGATCAAACATGGTCGTTTGAGAAGTGTTTGCAATCCATGCTTGGTCTGATATATAGTCTGGCACATGTCAAGTTACAAAGTGCAAAAGTTGCCATTCCTTGAGTCTAATCGCATCTGGGTAGAAATAGCCCAAACTCATTTATTCCCTGCTTGTCTTGTGCTAAGTTAATGATGATCTATCTCTTGGGGAATTTTATAAATAAACAGTCGCTTCCTTAGGAATGATCCATTTACAAGATACATATCACTAGTCTAATATGAATAAAAAAGACACTGGTAACATATACAAATAGCAGAGATTGTCAAAAACCACAGGTCAATATTCAGAATATTTTGTAGAGGTTTAGTCAGTCGGTAAATGAAAATCCCTAAATAATTTACTCTAATCAGTATAAATTCAATTGCTTGAAATGACACTTTTTTTAATTATCCATAATTATTCCTAAACTCCTGAATCTAATATATAAAAGAAAAGAAAATTACTTTTGAATCAATTCAAATATTTGATTCATTTTGGGCATCATTGGCAAACTTGAGATATTTTACTTTAAAATTTTTGACAAGAATCATGATCCTTCAGGAAATATACGGAAATATTGCTGATTCTAGGGTTGCCACTTCTGGATACTTTTTTTTTATAACATTAGTCTTTTTTATTTATTTTTACTGCTTGATTATGTTTGCTCAAAGTAAAAAAAAAGCTCGAATCTATAATAGACAAAGTGGACAATGAAATATTTCAGTGAATGAGTCCTATTTATTATCATCATGATAAAAAAAGATGAAGGTCATACATATCACCAATATCTGTATTGATGAAAAACTTGCTGTTGCAATTTATTTGTGAGTGATACAATACTGGGTTATTATTATGTAGCTTTGCGCTATACACATTCAGTACTTGTATCAGGACTGAGAGTATTTGATGGAATGCATACGTGAAAAAAGCACGGGGACAGTTCCATTGTACCGTTATGTCTTAAACTTGATAATGGAACTGCCTACTCTAGT